ATAGGAAGGGTCTGCAGCAAACGTCTCTTTTATAGTTCATGACAAGGTTTTCATGATCTCTGCGCATGACTAACGTATATATACCATTGATTGGTACTTGGGCAAGTAGTCGCCATCACATTTCGCAGTCAGGAAATCTTGTTTGTTCGCATGTCTCGCCAGATGTCTCGCCTGACATCTGTTGATGTAACGTTGATCGGACAGCGTTCTCTCAATATTGATATTTTCAACATTGAATTAATGTTGAAGGATTGATGCCATACTGGAGCGTTCTTTTAATTAATATGTGAGCAATGCTGACGAGGTGAAGTTGCTTCGCGTGAGTCTGTCCTTTCTTTGGATAAACTATATTACTTCGATACGTACTAAAGGCATTCACCATACTCAGGTAATCGTGTTACGCAGCAATAAAAAAACCAATCATATGGGAAACACTACATGAAGACAATATATAATCAAGACCGTCCCAGAAAAACACTTTCTTATTATTAGTGAGGAAAATAGGAGATTTCAGCAGCCATTACAGTTCAAGCTTAATTAGAATATATCTAGCTAGTGTCTTCACGTCATTTCTCTACACCAAGCCCTTGATGGCCTACATAAACACGTCGGTGCCTATTTCGGGAAATAGGTCTGACACAGTAAGGTTTTGAATCGTTGCTCCTAGTTATGCGAGCCGAAAATGCCATTCTGCTTGATTGGTGCGACAAAATTCGAGTGCCTTTCAGCCACTGTCTTATTTGCTCGAAATCGAACGTTCCTCTTGAAATAAATATTTCCTCGTAGATCGGCTGAAGTAATTAAGTAATTGCAAACACAGATGGAGAAAGCATTAAAAAGAATCATTTACTGCAAATACTTCGACCGTGAATGGTCCAGCATTGAATGAATGTTGGGCCAAAGTGAGTGTATAAATGGTGACGGTCACCGCGTTGAATCAATGTTGAAGTAACATGGATGTAACAACAGTGATGCATTCAATCCACACCCAGTCAACAATGATTCAACGCCTCATTCCAAACACGTCGGTGTCTATATCGGGGATGAAAATACCAGATTTATTCAGATTTCGAACTCCTGCTTTAGGTCACCTAGGTGGCCCTTGTGATCCAACAGTCACAGGGTCACTAAACTCCATCGTCCAGGTGCCCCACCCCTAGGTAACTAAGGTTTGAAGTTCATGGTTACTAGACTGCCCATTGCAGCGTTGCTTGCAAAACCATTTTTTAACTATTTTTTTTTTTGCAAAAAATAATTTATTTCATCTAATCAAAAAGTCGGACATGCGACAGAATACGCATTTGAATGCGAGTGTGGTTCGTAGAATGGCTCTCTCCCGTTGTAATGTTAGGGATGACATGGAAAAGACTGGAGTTTCGTGGCGTAGTGGTAACGCGTTTGCTTCGTAAGCAGGATGTCTAGGGTTCGATTTCCGATCGCGTCATTTTGTTTTTAGTCTTCTTATGCTACCCGAACTCTTCCCCCACCCCCCTCAGGCTATTACGTTCTCGAGAATGTATCCGACAGTCGCAAAGGTGGGAAAAAAAAGTGCTCCTCCGCGAGGGAGACACACCCGAAGCAGGCAGAAGGCGCCGCACATGCGCACAAGGACTTGCGGACATGCACTCAGACCCAAGCATCAGAAGCTTCATATGCATGAACGCAGCTTCATTGTGCTTTTAATATATAGGACTAGCTTAAGTACCCGGCTTTGCCCGGAGAAATTCAATATTTCATGCATGACAAATTGGGGAACGTTAGCCTTATGGTCTCCAATAAGTTACCGATCTTGGGTGTCGCAAAATGCGCTCGGACCCCTTTCCCTTTTAATTTTTTTTTGCACGCTTTGAATAATTTCTAAATTATTTTTAAGGGAAAAAAAAACTTATTGGTAAAATGCTTTTGTCGTTTTGAAACATATTTTCGATGAAAACTTGATCAAAAGAATATTACTTACTACCTACTGAAGTGATCCAGAAATGGGATTACCCCGGGGTACTGTAATGCAGGTGGCCGGGAGGGGAGAGTTGGATGGCATGAGAGGACAAAAAAAGAAGCTGGGGAGGGCCGGTAATCGAACCCTGGCTTCCTGATCGTCGGTCAGGTATGCTACCACTGCACCACCGAATCCAGGAACCAGTCGCTCCTCTCAATGCCATCTCAGACAATACAGGCCCCCGGTAAAGTACCCCGGGAGTGAAAATTTTGGATCGAAACGTAGCCCTCGACCATCCCCTGGATGAAAGAGGAGGCCATGCAAAGTTTGGTTGCACTGGCTCCTGCGGGGTCCGAATGCATAAAGGAACAGACAGACAGACAAACTTTCTTCTTTATATACAGTACTGTATATGTCACACCGATCCAGCCTCACAAAAGCACTTTCGTTCATTAGTAAGGTAAATGCCTAGACATGAACATGTCCAAGTCAATCGATTAATTGGCTTTAAAAGTATATACATAAATGATTTTTATTGAATCTCCTTTTTCTAATTTTACGTTTGTATTGAGACAATTCCACCATGTGAGATGCTCGCGAGAATTTTGTTTTTTCTTTTTGCTTGTTTGCTGCGATAGACTTTAGGCCAGGCGTCATTTCAGCCACCCTCTTATCTGCCCTAAAGCAGGCATTTTTCGTGATCGTAATGTATTCTGGGCGATTGGCTAAACTACTCAACGAACCATGATGAAGTACACACAAAAAATCCTAACGGTAGATTTAAAAAACAAGGTTTTTTTTTTACCGTGAAAGAATCCATTGAATCGAGGTTGATTTAATGTCGACACTTCCACCGTGAATAGTGCATCATTGATTCAATGTTGAGTCAATGTGGGTGTATAAACGGTGATGGTCACCGCGTTGAATCAATGTTGATTCAACATAGAAGTATAAACCTTCAACAGTGAAACATTCGATTCACACCAAATCAACGTTGAATCAATGTTATGTGCTACCTGGGACACGGACGATTTAAGGGAGGAAAGTATCATTCGAGAGGGCGCCAGGCTCTGTGCCAGGGGCGCCAGGAAGGCGTTCACCCCCGCTCCCGTAAAATACGCCACTAAATATGATAATAACATTACAATTGTTTGACCTTTTCACGTCATCTTCCGTCAAAATAGGGGATGGAGTCGACGGGTGTGTCCAGTCTTGCCATATCGAGTCTGACTCAGTTCTTTCAAACCGCAGCATGAAGATGTGCAGATCATTCGGATCAAACGTAGGATTCACTGAGCGCACTCACCTTTTGTACCGGCTTATATCCTTGACCTTCGCACAATATTCTTTTAGCTGATCTTTTTGATCGAAAGCAGCCCAGCAGATTTGTGTTGGCTCTTTGTACGGCATTCCTCACTACCGAATCCCATGCCTGAAAGAAGTCGGAGTCTTCTTTAATCAAGGCTTTTTCTCTCTACCGCCTTGTATAGGTGTGAAGGGCTTGAAATAAGCCTGAGGGCAAGGACAAGCTTTAAAAACGGGTCCGAAGCCGCACTAGGGGGAATTCTACCCATTCGGCACAACAACGTTGTGTTGACGTTGAATAAAGGTTGATGGCAATGTTGAGAAAAGGTTGACTTTTTAACGTAACATGTTGCCATGATGTTGCCACAATGTTGAAATGAAACACAGCTCAACGTTGAAAAGTTGATGCTGTGCGACGTTGTGTCAACGTTGAATTTTCAACGTAAGGGCATTATAGTACCTCCTCCCTATTCCAGGGTTTGAATGAGCTTTGATTGTCGGATGAAATTGAATATGGACTCGATAGCTCCATAGATGGTTCCCAAGAGGTATGATAGTAGCAGTACTCTATCGAGTACAATCATCCCACGTAAAGGACCCTCAGAGTTTTATTTCCTCTACTGAATGAGAATTCACGTTGAGTACTTGCATGACTCAAGTACCTCTCGGTCCAGTAGAGGGAAACAACCTCGCGGGCATGGTTTTTATACTCTATCCATCATGGATGAGTCTGAGTAAGGGCGCGTGCCATGTGGAGATTTAGGAAAATTGAGCGTGTCTTTTCGGACCCACTAGCCAGAAGTAATTTCGGTCTCCTTCTGCCTGATTACCTCCTTAAACATGTCTATCTAGGAATTCCTATACCTTCCCCTATGCTGTAAATGGGAAAAGATTGGGTACTGTCTGAAAAACGCAGGGTACTGGTTATTTAAAGGCATCAGGATAAGAATCGCGGAATTGGCGGTTATGTGCCATCTCGCGTCGATTCGTAGAACCAAATTTTAGTTGATATGATGTGGATAACTCCACGTAAAAACAACATTGAAAATACGATTTTTTTTAATTTGCTCCTAATAGCCTCTGAACGACTTCCCTAGTTCACGAGTAGTCACCAAATGCTGAAAATACGGTTAATTATGAATAGCTAGCATTTCACTGATGTTGATTTTTCGTCGAATTCTCAACTTCAACCAAGTCTCAACGTTTCAACCTATTCTCAATGTTGATACAACGTTGTTGTGCCGAATGGGTACGCCAGACAGTTAAACGGAGAGGTTGTGCCGTGGGAATTCCAGATCGGGCGGACACCCAGAACAGTTGTGCCAAGAGAAGACGAGCAACACTGCAAACCTTCTAGAGACTACCCGCCAGTGAGGGCATACACGTCCTGTCTTCCTTCAACACACCCTCAGGACGTGAGAAGTGTATTGCCTCCAAATCTACATTGTTCTTAATATTTTAAAATCACTCTATTGATCTGTTATAATAACCTGTGATTAAAAGTCTCAAGGTGTAAAGTGATGGATTCTTGAATCATTCCTTGATATAATGTACTAAGGCCGTGGGCCAAATTGATCGAGACCGCCTGGGTCCGAATCACCCGCTACCACTTACTTCCTCCAACTATATTGCACAGGGATCGGTATCATATAACCATAAATGACTTGTTAGCCTCCGAAGAGTAATAGTAAAAGCACACACCGAACCTGTGACATGTGATTTCTTTGCTTTTTTTTTAACGTTTTCTCCATCAAAGCTGATGATCGTCAGTGGGCAGGTTTGGCCGAAACAAAACTTCTAATAGCGAGAGATGACATGATTATTTAATCTTTTTCACTTGTCGGACATATTTATCTCTCACTCTTTAGTTACATATCAAAGTTTGAGCGTCCCGTTGCAGCTGCTTGGCAATAAAAATGAGCCCTTTTAAAATGTGTCTGAGTTTTGAGACATCCTGTCTCAAAACCACCATCACCTGACACCACCGTCACCTTCCACCTTCCATTTGTGGACCTACCGTACTCAATGATTATTGACCTGTCCGCAGGTCCGGTTCGGAGACCTAGCTCCTCTAGGAAGTAAAAAAAATGCTACTTCGGAGGAGGAGGAGGTGCGGAAGCCTGGCATACCCTCTTGGAGGTCCAGTGGTTAACTCCCACAAGGAAGGGGGGACGACGACAACGACGACGACGACTACAAGGAATATTGTCTTAAAAGGTTATTAGTGAATTAAGTATTACCAAATGAATTATGAAGAATCTATTATTCATCCTAATATCTAACTCAGTAGATTCATAAATAAGGTAAGATCTGTTTAGGATGCTATTTAAAAGACTCACCTATTTGCTACCCAATAAATCTACTGACCTTGCGTATTCACTAAAGCCGATCTTGTTTGTCCGGAGGTCACCACATAATCACCCAGAGACTATTCATATTTTAGTGAATTTACTGTTCTTAAGCCCCACTGAAGCAAACTGTTTACCTCATCGAGCAACACTGCTCAGAGCATGTCACTCTTCTTTGAGACCACGTGAGTACGTGACCCGACCTGGGACCGTATATCATCCTCATATCTCAACCTGACTTGCATCAGGCGCCTACTGGAAAAGAACAGTTTTTTTTCCGTGGTTAGGGAAGTATGGGAACGAAAGAAGCCCCGCATCGAGAGGGGACAGAGATTGGCCTACCAGACCATGGCTTGGGCAAGAATTTATACCTCCTCAAACAGAATGACCAGGTGAAGGAACTCCAGACTGTGATACGGGCAAAAAGCACGTCTCGAAGTGACTTCGTATTCTATGCCGATCGACTCATCCGATTGATTGTGGAAGAGGGAATGAATCACCTTCCAACTGCCCCCAAGATTGTGATCACCCCGACAGGAGCAGAGTATGAGGGCCTGGCCTTCCAGAAGGGGAACTGTGGGGTCAGCATTGTTCGCAGTGGAGAGGCCATGGAGAAAGTGAGGTGATCTGTGGGCTAAGGTGCCATTTCCCAGGCCAATGAAACTTGATATATTCAAAGAAATTTTGCTCTCTATAAATGCTATGGTCTTGTGTTTAAGTGAATTGCTATCAGTTATACATAATGATGGGCCTAGGAGTAGTACTGATGTCAGTAGCATGTTGCAGATTTTGATCAAGCTGAACAGGCACAGAGTGCCATGTTGCTGCAGGGCCTGCACACTATTCAATGAAGGCAAACAGAGATGGTAACTGGGCAGAAGGTCCAGTTGTGAGTAGCTGGTTTGGTGTCAAAGGCCAAAGAGTGAGCAAGTCAACCTATTTTGGAGAAAAATGGGTCAGTTGGGTTAGAAAATAATCGTGGCCAATGGCTGCGTCGCTATCCTAACTGCAACTGACCCATCATTCTTCATAATAGGTTGACTTGCTCACTCTTTCTGTCCAACATAGAAGGAATGCAACTCACTTGGTTTGTGTTTATCACTTCTTCTCTGAGGTTAGATAGTTTGGGTTTAGTGAAAACCCAAGGGAGATGATGAAGCATCAGTCTGAGTCTCTAACTCTGAAATGATTGAATTATGAAATCTTATGGGTGGGAAGGATAGAGGTTGCACAGGATGGGATTAGAATAAAGAGAAGGACAGACAGTGTGCTCTGCTTCTATAATTTATATGGCATGCTTGTAGCAGAGTGAGTATTCCCAGTCATGCAATTAATGGTTATGTACAGTTATCTCAGGAAATACTAACTATAAGCAAATTCATATGTTTTGTGGGAGCCCATGAACATCTCTTTCATGTGTGTTATGATTCAATTGAAAAGTAAGAAGTTGTGTTGGCCTATGAAATGGTACCTTAACCTCAAGTTGAATTCAACATGCTTTGTGCATGATGAAATAGGCTTAGGCCTACCTTTACATAAGCCTTGAGGCCTGTATTTGGCTTGTGGTAGGCTTATTATTGGCCAGGTATTATTAATCATGTACATATCTTGACCACCTGGACTACTTCGGGAACTTGCCATCCTTGTTTATGTTCCCTTCATTTCTACTACCTCCCTTTCTTGCTGTCTTTTCTATGCCCATAACTATTCGACATGATCAAACTACACACTATAAATGGGAAATCTGTCAGTGGGCATCTGAGTAAGGGTATGCCATTTCTTTGCAAAGAATTTTAGACCTTTCTGGTGTTTTAGCAATTGTGTGATACAAATTAAGTGTTCTTCCAGTGTTGCAGTTGCATTGTGTGCTTCCAATGCAAAGGATATGGTTCTTCATTTTCTGTAGCCTTTTGGGCTATTTTACATCTTGTGAACACCACGTATACCCTGACTCTCTTACATGAACACTCACTATAAGTGTATGTGTACACCTTATATAGGGCTATGTGTACACCTATCATATGGTGACGTGAACACCTTGCCACTCCCATCTTCATCTGTTTCCTCTGTGGATGACATGAATACCTCTAGCCATAATCCCTTCTCCATCTTTTTCCTTTGTGTTTCTACACATCTGCATTGAGGAGGCTTGCACTTCTGTTATCCCCACTATCCTTTCCTGCTCCTGCTGTGGTTTGCCTATCTCTCTTTGGTGGCAGTGCAACTTGTGTAGAGGAATGCATATGGCCTAATGGGAAAAATAAATTCCCAAGTGCCAAAATTCATGTAATACTTTTTTTTCCTTCAGTCAAGGCATGGATAACAATGAAATAGCAAAGCCCACACACCATTTCTGTATAGTATCAACACATGATTTTATCTGTTTCTACAGTTCAACAGTTTCTACAGAATCAGTCCCCCCCCCCCCCCCTGGTTGTGAAGAACCGAGAAATCACTATTTCCAGAGGATCTTCTTCATCCCATTGTCCAAAAAACAAACCCTTGTGGATGGTGTCATTACCTGGAATCAAAGGGAGTGCTATAGAGTGGTGCAAATTCAATTTGAAAAATTATGTGTCTTTCAGACTCCATACTGGAAAGAGCTCTTGTCAGTTACATCAGTCTCTCCCAGAGTTCTCCCCATCGAGGTGGCATTGTCCATGTCAGCAGTGACTTAAGCACCAGCACCTACATGTTTCTAATCATGTGGGTTGCATCAATGCAGGCATAAAATATGTAGCATTACTTGATTGTGAGGTCAGCAGCCAATAGTCAAAACCATTGTGGGCAAAAAGCTGGTTCCATAGCTTCAATAAGGCATATCCCACAAGAAGTTGGCAAGCTGTCAAAGCTGTCTGAATCTGTGCTGAAAAATATATTCTTTTCCTTTACCCCTGTACTCTGCCTCAGTAATGCTACCTTGGTGTTCACAAGGTGAAGACCAGGTTTTAAGGGGGAGTGTACACATGGTGTTCACAAGAAGTACAACAGCCCCATTATGGACTGCACTGCTATTTGTTGCTTCTCTGATGATTTGCAATCAAATTTAGTTCATTTGATTTGTATGTCAGATGAGGTAGGTGGGAAAGACAATAACATTTTGAGAGTGCTAACAGATGATAGGAAAGATGAGATACTGGAAAGGAGAAGAGGGGACTAATAATACATGATTGACTTCCTCATTCCCTTATAGTCCTTCATAGGCCTCATTACACAAGATGGGCAGTGGGTGCATAGCTAAACTAACACTTGTATGGATGTGGATGTGTGCACCTGAAGAGCAATGTCCTATTATGCCCAGGCTTAGACCTATATCCAACATTAGACCTGTCATAGCTATGGTAGTCATTGTGAAAGTTACATATATAATTTGCTGCTGATTTACTAACTCATTTGGAGCATAAGTAAGCTATTACAGTAATCTCATTGCACCCTTTCAGAAGCAATCAGTGATTAGACCAGAGCCAAGTTGCACCAAAAACTGTTTAACATGCCTAGGTATTACCCTAATAACTTTGGCAAGGTCCAATGGATGCTAAACTCTTATAAATGAAGTTGTGGTCACTAGCATGGCAGGCTCACTACATGGTGTTGTTTGATATTCAATGTATATCTGAAACCAGTGTAGCTTTTTCATGGACATTTCCAGAGTAATTGGGAAGATTTTGATACAGAATTTTTTGCTGTAAAATACTTCTAACTTAATTTTTATATTAAGTATACAGGGTATGACAGAAAAAAAAAAAAAAGAAAAAAGACACCTGATTTTTAATCTCTATTACCCTGCACTTACTGGAGCCATGCTTGCAAAACTTGCCCTATGTATTGACTGATATTCATATAAACCTGACACTGAAATTTCTTGCAAATTTGTCATGTTATAGCAAGGCTATGGATACTTATTTGGAAGAAATTGAAAATTGAAATATTAAAAAGCTGAGAGGTTCTGCTTTTGATGCACACTCACTTCCTTTCTGTGCAAATGTGATTTGAATTTCATGATTTTTTTTTTGAAAGGTTGTATGATCTGCTCACCTTGTCCAGGTGAGCCTCTGTTTATGAACTGGAAGAAATGAGTAACATCTTTTTTTGAAAATAAGGAAATAAAATGAATGGTTAGTATGAAGCTTCTTTGGCATGTTCAGACTGCTATACCAATGAAACTATGAATCACAGAACTACTAGGTTGTAATGAAAGTTTTTGTGCATAAATACAAAAATTTATTTTGTATTTATGCACAAAAACTTTCGTTACAACCTAGTATAATATATGATGGGAATCTGAATGAGACCTTGGGGAAGAAGACTGCAGGATCATTGAAAGCTGTTACCTGGAGGAACCTGGTTGCAGCTTTCCTGGTGTGAAGAAGCCCATGAAGTGTACCACATGTATGGAATGATATGCACAAATTGGTTGCCCCTTTGGATGTCAGTCTGACAATAGAGACAGTCTTCATGGAAGAATGGTGTTCCTGACCTCATTTCACTGACATTGAAAATGATTTTGTAGATGTCCTTTGAGGATTGAATAATCAGCCATCATTTTTCAAACATATGGCCTCCTTGTTTGACTGACCTCACCTCAGCGCCCTTTTGGCTCTGGAGATTTTTAAGGTCTGTTGTGTATCATGTGGCACCTGCCACCTTAATGGCCTCAAACATACCATCCAACATCCTGTGTCCATGTTGGATGCTAGACAGAATTACTCAGTTGTGCATCATAGCATCTCCCATGTAAAAAAAAAACCATGCCAATAAGCAATGGTAGACATGTATGCTAATTACATTAAGCTAATGTAGCACCCCTGCTGACCATTTTCATTGACCCAACATTCCTCTTCACCATGACCTCATTTGTATTCCCACCGAGTATTATAGCTCTGCAATGCTTAGTTTGCATGCTATAACTGTCTGAACACACAAAAAACTATGTACTAACCATGTAGGTAATCCTAAGGTAACCAAACCTATCTTGTTTTATAGCTTCCAGTGTAGTCAGCCTGTAATTTGTGAGTCTCACCATCAATGCCATCCAATATTCAGCTGAGCAAGCCTGTCATAACTGTAGATCTAATAGGTCTAAAGTCACTGACCTCAGTGAGAGTCTGTTTGTCCTATCTGTCATATTCCTATGCAATCTTATTTCAGGGTTTGCGAGATTGCTGCCGGGCAATGCGAATTGGAAAGATCTTGATAGAATCTGATTTGGACACCCACCAGGCTCAGGTTGTTTATGCAAAGCTGCCTGATGATATCAAGCGACGCAAGGTCCTTCTCATGTACCCTATCCTCCGTGAGCACATTGAATTCATAGTATCATGAGATTGACTTTCACCAGTTACTATGAAGTTGGGATCCTTCTTACCTGTTGAATCATCTTTACATCCTATTGAAAAGTCTGCTTCTTAAAGTAGCAAAAGGAATGGGAATCCTATGAGCCTATATTCTATTACTTTCTTGGTTTATTATAAGAAAATTGCATAAATTCAAAGCACCTGTCTTAGTAATATTTGCTGCTAAAGGTGGTATCTTAATTCCATATCATCGCTCTGTTGGGGAGGAAGCTCTTTAGACATAACACCATGCCAATAAAAATTTCATAATTGACAGGGTGTATGGTTTTATTTTACCATATATCATATATTTGCCATACAATCTCTTTGGCTTTCCCATATACATATGTATTCATATACAGTATTATTGAATGTGTGGGATATCATATGCAGGGTGATAAATAATGAACACTCCCATTTAAAAAATTTATTTCTCAAAGTCTACAACAGCTAGAAACAAAACTCAAATGGCATATTAAACTACAACTGCAGGAGATTACATGATGATGTGTTCAATTAGTGCTTTCGCTTGTAATCACATAACACAGTGGAAGAATGAAATTCTGGGTGATAGCCTCAAGTGTCTCCTAAGGAATCTTTTCAATTTCACTCTTAATGGCATCCTTGAGCACCTTCATGATTTTTGAGTTGTTTACTTTGACTTTATCGTTAATGCAGCCCCACAAGACATAATTACAAGGGTTGAGGTCTGTGGAATAAGGAGGCCAGTCAATTCCCTTTCCAGGTGCCTTGTTGTAATCCAGAACAATAACCCTATCATTAAATATCATTTATTTGTTGAGGACCTCAATCACCTTGCATGTGCAATGAGGCCTTGCACTGTCCTGCATAAACCAGGTTTCTTGCATAAGCCCCAATCTCTGTACAGCTGGAACAAAATAGGGCTGCCACTGATATCGAAGCACCACAATGAGCTGCTTGGATCATTGTCTTACCAGACCTACTAGATCCTCAATCTGCCTTGTATGATTCTGAATTGAGGCAAAGTTGATGACTTAAATTTCTTCACAACCCCAAGGTTTTTGGATTTTATCTCTAATTTTAATTGAGAGGGCAAGTTTGGCATATCTACTAGAGGTCTCTGAAGAAGCTGTAACGTTAACTGTTATCATACCAATTTAAATCTCCTGTGTAAGCACTGACAGCCGGATTTTTCATGCCCTTTGAACCCCAGTGTTCACAAACCAAGGAATTTTTTTCCCCCCCATCTATTCTGGATCAAATCCCCATCCCTCACACAAACTCCATTACTTGTTCCTGTTGCTAGGGTATTGTATATAAACGCCAAAATCAGGTATTCAAGTGTCTTTCTAAGCAGCTCCAGACTTCTACTTGCTAGCTGAGTAGTGCACCTGTTCTAAAACTAAACTGTTGACAGTGATGCTATTATTGATGTCACATGAGCTTGAATCCAATACAAGAACTTTTTCTGGGCAACAGCATTATAAGCAAAGGAATAGACAGTTGTTCTTTGACAACAGAAAGACAGAGTGAACTAAAAGGAACATTTTTCCAAGAAGTTGTAGTACAGCATTTGTTCCTTTTGGCCATGGAAAAATGCATTCTGTGGTATAGCAGTTGTATCTCTTGTCCGATAAAGATTAATTAATCCGCTTGCCTATTGGGAATTCCATAAAGCCAATTTCATACAATTCAGAAACAAATGATTTTAGACCTAGCAGTGTGTGTGTCCTCTGAGAATTGGCACTAACTGAATATGATTATTCTCTAGGTACTGGGAACACTGTGATCAAGGCTGTGAATGTTCTCAAAGACCATGATGTGCCTGAAGAGAATATCATGCTCCTGAATCTCTTTTGCACCCCAACAGGGGCCAAAGCCATTCTGGATGTGTTTCCAAGGCTCACCATCCTTAGCTCTGAAGTGAACTCCATCACACCCAACCATTTTGGACAGAAGTACTTTGGCACTGACTGAACCCATCACTCACAAGAGCTTGTTGTGGTTAATAAAGATTTTTGCTCTTCTCTGATGATCCTGCTCTTCCTGTGTGTCATGTAAAGTAAACTGGTTCATGAGTGAATGGCAAGAATTCTGCTGAAGCAACGGGTCAGAAGGCTTCAGTGTTTTTGGAATATGACTTGCATTTCAAACTTTCCAGTGGGAGGGCTCAACTGAAACTTGAGCTAAGGAGTGACTGTACACTTCTGGTCTCCACACTTATATGGTTCTTGCAAAACACAGGGAATCACAAAGGGCAAGGCATGCAACAGGAGTACTCTTAGTATCTGGCCCTAGTCAATCAATTGTTGCATGCCATGAATCGTGTGATTGGGACCACTCAATGAACTTGTTTGTTGAATAGGCTCTTCCTGGCCTTCAATCCTTAGTACTGTACACCTTCCCCACTGCTTTTACTGAAGTAGTAGAAATATCATCTTTAGTTTTTCTTTTCTTGGTTTTTTTTGTTTCTTTGTGGTTTATTATTATATTTTTAGTTTTCTGGCAGTAATTGTTCTTCTTCAATATCTCTTTAATTCTCTTCTTTTATGGTAGATGTAGCAAATCTGAGTACTTCATGATGATGCAGAATCAGCTGAACCAGAAATGCTGATACTGGGTGATTGTTTGATTTTTAAGACAATAATTTGAGGATTAAGGAAAACTGACAGTATATCATGCTTTAGGCTTTTAAGTTATGAAGCTGTAAAGGGTTAAATTTTCTGAGCAAACTGTTTCATTTAACTTGTCTTTAGATCCAATGGCTACTTGTTAAGTGGCTGTCAAGTCTGATGTGAAGAAAACTTGCATTCCAGTTTCAGATCTGGATCCTATAGAAACTCCATCAGAGTTCCATAATGATTTAAACTTTCTGCTTACATTTCAACAGAGTGAGAATATTTTATCAAATTTCTTGTTGGAATTCTACAGAATCCAAACAGAAAGTTTGTATTTTGGCCAGGGATTCTACCCATGCTAGCAATCATGAATTTTGGACATGTCAGCCACATCAGGTAAAATAATGGGGGGACAGAACATAGGAAATATAAGGAATGTAAGCAATTAAAATCTTAATGCCATCCCTTCATCATAGAATCAGGAAACTTGGTGTGAATTTGGTTGAAGGTTCAAGGTTTTTTTGGTATTTGTTCAAGAAAAGTCCCTTTGCTGGAAGACTCTTGACAGTGCTTTGAGCTTCACCTCAAAATGCACTTTTGTTGCAAGGTGAGAAATGGCGAATTTGCTCACTTAAAAGTTTGTGATAGGGAACTTCTTGTTGCTTGGTGGCTTCAGCATCCAAGTGGCTTGTGCCATAGCTCAAGATCCTTGTTTGAAAAATGTGTCTCCTTGCCAAGTTAGAAAGGCATGGAACCATTTCCAAAAGTATGGTTCGTGTCTGGATCAGCAGCCACAATGTAATTTCAACCAAGTGCAGGTGGTCCCTGTCAGTTCAGATTCCTCTCATCATGGAATCAGCACCAGTATTGTCAGGATAATGACATAGCAATAACTCATTGCTCATAAGCAGTAACGATGCTACTTATGAGTACTGAGTTGTTTTGTAATGTGGTGCTTAGTAGTTTGTTTTGCACCATCAATCGATTTTTCTCGTTAGAACACCAGAAAAGGCTTTAATATTCTTCTGAGATGGACAGCACCATATTGCACTTGGACCAATAAGTGCACGCTTCTAAATATTATTTAGCATAAAAATTTGACGTTTTTTCTTTATTTACATGAAATCACATGAGTATACAATGAAGGGAAGGCATCAAGAATTTCATTTTTTATCTGTCCTATGTTCTGCCTCCCAAGTATATGATAATAGGGTGGAACTATTGAACTTAGGATGAAGAAGGGAAAATTCTTACACTGCAAAACATGTGAATTCCATTTATTTTTTTTTATTTCTCAGGCAATTTGTTCATCAATTTCATTTAACTGCAATTGAAATAAAAGGTCATTTCTGAACTGAGATTGCTCTAATATGAACTTTATTCTCTATCAATATCCAAGTGTGACTGGAGTCTACCCTGAACTAGTTGGATCCAATCCAAGGTGGGGATTGTCTGAATCTAAACTGAACTCATCTCTGGTTCCTTTATGTAATGACTTCATTGAGCTAATCTAATTTGCCTGAAATCCCTTAAAGAAATTATATCAAAACTACATCCTACTAAACCAAAGTTGATTAGATATGTTACCTGTCACTGAACCTCTTTGAGTGCATCTGAGCTTCATATGCAGATATTTCCTCTACTTATCAACCTTTGCAGATCTGTGTAAAGTACATTTTATTGGAGATGGGTGCCAAGCTGAGTTCTCCTGAGCCTATCTCAAAAGTGAGTGACCCAATCAGGTGTCCTGTGAGAGATGGGGGCAGGGAGAAGGAATTCCGAAGTGAATGCCCCATGAACCAGGCAGAACATCCAGTCCACCAGCCCCCTGTGGGTACATGTCCCAAAGCCCGCATCCCAGGGACCAGTGTTAGAATGGAGGACTTCAACCTGGACAACCTTATGCCTCCACCCAATCAGAGCCCAGCTCCTGACCAGCCATTCCCTCTTCCTACTGAACGTCAGGTTGCCATTATTTTTTCTCCCAATAGGGAAGGGGTGAATTGATGAGATCCTTGTTTCTGTGTCCAATTTTCTTTATCATCAGGCAGAACAAAAACTCCTACAATCAGCATTGAAATCAAGCATTTAGATACATTTGTTACATAGTCTGGCTGGTAGAAAGAGTTGGAAAATAGATGGAAAATTAATTGCAATCATTATTCAAAATTGAATTTTAGTAAATATAAAGAAAGCAAACAGAAGTAAATAATGTTTAAATGAAGTCAACTAGATTTGCTCTTTAGTCATTCCTAACACCAGGACATCATCCACAATACTCATACAACCTACACAGTGCAAGTTTTTCTTGATGTTCAATGAAGATCTCCTGCTGCTCTGTCAGGTGTCCACAATCCCAAAGGCTGGGACAGGTGATGAGTTCTGGATATACCCATCACAGCAGATGTTCTGGAATGCAATGCTACACAAGGGCTGGCGGTGGAATGAGAAGGACATCTCTGCTAACGACATGGCCCACATCATCCGCATACATAATGTCAACAATGAAGCTGCTTGGAATGAGGTAAACACAAATGAGGATAAATTTGTAAAAGTTACTGTAGAAAATTGTCACCTGGTTTTTAAATAGGCTTACCATGTTTAAATATGCCTTGAAAGGCATAACTCGCTTTCAACAGGCTTAGGAGTCTTAGCGCCAACTGGTGAAGGATTTTGGGCCAAAACATGCCATCCCATTTATGCTGAGTTTTCAAATATTCAAATAAGAAAGTTTCACCACAATTGTGACTTGGGAACCTTTCTGTGCAGAAACTCCATAACTACAACAATTGCAATTTTCAAGGCATATTGTTTTTGCTATGCTCTTGTGAAGATGGAAAGTGCATATGTTCCAGTGCAAGCCAAGCAGAGAGTAGAGAGATTTCCACACCACACTGCTGTACTTGAATGCTCTCACTGCTATCATGGACTGGAACTGCTTGCCTGTCACAACATATTGGTGGTAAAGCAAGGTCTGATTCCAGGGGTTTTCATGGTAAATCTAGGACTATTAATCAAGTCAAATTTTATGCATTATCTTAAGTCTGTAAGCTATGGGGGTCAAAGGCACAAAGGTTGAAATTGATCTTGATTGCACAACCCTCTGGCCACTCAGTCTCTAGGTTTCTGCATGTCATGAAACTTCTCGCATGGTCATGTAAATGGTCTGGAGTGCCATAGGGGAGATATTTCACTGTGGATTCTTAAGAGGATTAACTTGTTTTTGCACTGAGCTGTTAATGTGTTCTATTGCCAAAATCTCCAAAGCATGCAAAAAAAACCTACTGTATTGGATGAACTTGATATAATTTTTCCAAAGAGAATTCAAGGAGGAAATCAAGGTGAAGGTGATAATGAACAAAAAAAAAGCTTCCCAAGAATATGCAACACATGGGGTATTTTAGCAGGTTTTACTCCTTCAATCAAAGCTTGAAAAAAAAAAAAAGAAGTAAATCTCTCAGTGATCACTGTCTGGAATGATCTTTTCTCACAATCATTCTTCCTAATTCTGGCTGAGGAATGCATCACATAGAGGTTATATTGGAATATGGAAAGTGGGTATAGGTATTGTTTTATTGAAAGTTTGTTGTCATAAATACATTAACATGCTTTTGTTAGTTATGTGGGTTGTTGATAGTGGAACCACACACAGCTCTCAGTTTGTTATGGATGCCCTGCAAAGGGATAAGGAGGCCTAGAAGGAATTTTATTGACACCATCCAATGATGGCTTTGCTAGGCTTAGGGTTTCCTGTTAGAATGAGGGATTAATTTCTCAGTCATGTTCTGTAGCCATGCAGCATGGGCTTCTGACTCATGCCCAGGAAGTGGGATATCAAGTCTGGTGGCAGCCAGCTCTTCTATGCCAATATGTGATGCACTTACTTTCTGGGATTATATGCCTGACATTTGGGTGTCACATCCACCATACTCTGCACCATGTAACAAAAATACAGGTGCAGTACACCTTAAAAATCACATGTACCATTCATGGACCCATGCAGTCCTGAGCTGTTCCTAAGACCTCCTACAGGACCTTGAAGAGGCATCCCTTCATCTGAGTCTGTGACATGAGGTGTGGTATCTGTGTCAAGCAGGTACTATCATTTGGAAACTTTGATGCCTTGTGCTGTTACATGCCCTGTCTTTACAAGATTTAAAATGGTAAAAAGTCATTTTTTTATTATTCTGTCATGCCCATAAGGCAAATCTTCACATCATGCTACTTGCTAAAAGCATGTGCCTTCCCTGCAAATGACAATATTCGCATATTTTAGCATGGCGGAAACTATGAGAAAATGCCCTCAGCCAAAGTGTTCCATGTTTTATACAGATGCAAGGTATGTATTATTCATCAACCCCATTACTGGCATCATTCTTGTGCATTATTCTCATGACTAAAATTTGCAAAATAAAATGAGTTATTAATTTAGCTTATTAATTTCTAAACACTAAATTTGCACAAGATTATGGTTTTTGATTGATTATGATTTTGATCGTTCAGAACTTTAGCTTTAAGATGATATGCAACATATGCTCTTGGAGATATGCACAAACTTTTTAAGGAAACAAGTAGCTTGCTATGAATGGCAGATCACTGATTTTGTAAGAATGGGCTTCACTTTAGCAGCCAGCAAATTGCTGGCTTCATAAGCCAATGGGTTAAGCATATTTTTACCCTGAAGAATTATTCACAGATTCATGTAATTACATTCCATTTATGATCTTCTGCAGGTCTTGAAATGGGAAGCAATGCATGCCCGTGAATGCTGCAACCCAAAACTGAAACGGTTCGGTGGGAAGGCAAGTGACTACTCACCCCGGGCACGAATCCGCCACTGGTTAGGATATGAGCTCCCATTTGACCGCCATGACTGGATTGTGGACCGCTGTGGGAAGGAAGTGCGTTACGTGATTGACTATTATGATGGGGGACTTGTGGATCCCCAAAGCCACCAGTTTGCCCTACTGGATGTCCGACCAGCCATGGACTCTGTGGAGAATGTCTGGGATCGAATGAAAGTAGCATGGCGGCGCTGGTTCTACCAGCTTGATAACTACTGCTCCAATTCAACCAATTCCCCTACCTCATAAGCTTATGGTTGCATCATATGAACCTTTAGGCTACTGCTAAATGCCTTCCTTTCCCTTCACATCACAAATGCTAGTCAGATTGTTTTCTCTCAAACTTCAAGGTTATCCTTCCAGATTTTCCTGGTGGTAATGTTCAGTAAAGAGCAAGAGATGATGGAGTATTTTCAGACCAGCATCAAAATTTCCTTTAGCATTGATATCTCTAAGAATAATTCTTTTTAGTCATGTGTATTATGAAGCACAATAGGGGTTCTTGTGTTATTCAGTTGCAATATCAGTTTATGACAAGTGATGTACATTTTCTCTTTCTTCTTTGAGGTCATGTGTAGTCCTGAAAGAGTAGGTTTTGCTATCTTTAAATCCATTTTTCATCCTCAGAATGAGTTGGGGTCTCGTGAAAAATATTGAATGAAAGAAGTATTTCCAACATTAGGATTGCATCTATGGAATTATTGACATTTTCTATGAGAGCCCAATCAGATTTGATTCTTATTCATGATAAAGTTACAAAATTAATTTGCTAGATAATCATATATTCAAAATGCTCTTCATGTAATTTATTCAAGAAAGGTCAACCCTAGTAAACAAATCTTCTACTCTCATTAAGCACAACATTTTTCCGAAGTTAATTTAATACCATGGGGAGATATATCAGGTGGACTAGTTTTTTGCATGTGGGTGCCTCCAGGATCAGTGAAGAACTTCAGTGCAATTGCCTTCATTCTTAATATAGATCTGGAATTGCCCATGGCAGTTGTGATGGTTTTAGGAATGTGATGTATGGGAACACCTTTGGTGATGTTCTCAGGGGATGATACAAAAGTGTTCTTGCTCTTGTAGATGGTGAAATGCTTATTGTCTTAGGCCTAGCTCTAAAAAGTCCTGTTTTGGATTGATTGTGCACATGTCATTGAACAAACCATATCTTGGGAGAAGGATTGGACTTTGTGGCTCAGCCACTTAATTAGCCAGATCTCTGGACCTCATACTATTTGAATTCAACAATGGAGTGGTAAGAAATCCAAGGTTAATGTGACAAAACCCAGAAATGTCCAAGATTTGGAGCATCCAGGAGGTTTCCATTCAACGCATCCTTAATGCCATCTTAACTGCTAAAGGGTGACCTGTGTTCAAAATGAAGGCACCTGCACTGAAGTTCTTCACTGATTCTGAAAGCACTCACATGCAACAAACTAGTGAATATGATAGCCCCTAGTAACCATTCAACTTCCAAAAATTTGTGTAGAAATGGTGCAAAATCCATAATATGTGGTCATCTTGCATTGTGCACATGTCTGTGCTTTAATTTGGGCATCAAGAAATAATGTTAGAATTTTCAGACTTTTGCTGATTTCTCCAATCACTTAGTTTTTTGCTTGCTCTAATTAGGCATACCTCCTCCTCAATACTCTTTTATCTCACCCCAACTCATTTTGAGAGTGGAATATGCTTTTGATGGTCTGTGTTTCATTTGCAACTCTCAGCATTTTGTTTGAAGAGATAAAGTATTGTTTTGTCTGCTACCTGCATTGACTTCATATTTTCAATAGGATTGTGCTAAAGTGGAAGGATCTTGATGACCCTGAAGTGGAGCCTTTGGGTTTCCCACTGGACAGGGGCCTTTTTCCCTGATTCCTGGGCACAAAGACTCTCTCTCCCCCATGATCTGTATCTAATGCATAAAGAAGTGATGGTTATGTACAATTTCCAGTCTGATCTTGATAAAAAAGGAGTCTTCAGTAATGAAACTTGGTTCGAAACATGTTGAAATGCTGGTACTTTTCCCACTTCTTAAAGTTGAGAGGAACCTGCCATTAAGAGGTTTTATTATGATTGATTTGCCAGCTCAGAAATATGGCAGCAATAAAAAACTATACAAAGGGGCTAAGAAAAACTATGTAAAACTTATCAAAATCATATAGGTGATCAGTTTGGCATACTTTGTTCTATAAATTTGAACATAGCCATGAAATCCCCAAGATTCACTTAAATAAGTTTTGCAGCTAAACTGTTCCCATCCACTTTGACTTATTCCTCTACAGTGAATCAGAGTAGCATGCATTTATATGCTACTGTCTTTCAAACTAAGAGTGAGGTAAGCCAAAGGTTCAGGGGTGAGCAAAGGTTCAACAAATAACTAATTTGAAAAAGCATTGAATACCACAAAAAATGGCATTTCATCATATGTATGTTTGTTAGTGTTCTAGCACCCTAACTGATGAATATACAGCTCTGAACATTTTCTCACTGATTCCTTAGCAACCAAGGATTTACCCTTCTCATGGGACAGAAATTTCCCTGATGTACCTTATTTTTGCAAAAAAAGGTAAATTGAACATGAAAGTTACTTATCACATCTTCTGGTGTCATGAGTACAATTGGATAGACATCAACTAGTTAAATAAAAATGTCCACGAGTTCAATCCAATCATTGCATGAGGTCAAGAGTTTTAGGCAGAAAAATGAGTTCTGAAATGCTAGAGATACAGCCCTGCCATCTGACATTTACTCTAGCAAACAAAGTTTCCACAAGGTAATGGTGAATGAATTGCTGTTGTTGCGAGTCATCCCCATTGAATGCTACAACTTATCAAGGATGATTCTACATGAGCTTCATGAAAATAAAAAGTGCTCTCCTCCCTGTGGAGGTGATTTTTTTCCTGATAGTTTTCTCAAAAACTAGGAAAATGTTACCCATTAAAAAAATGCAATTATCACTTAATTCTAAAGTTGGGAAAAAATTCCAACTCATGGGATTTTTCTGGGGTTTTTTTGGTACTGAGGTAAGATGAAGTGTATGAGATTTGAATAATGAGATGTTACATTCACCATGACAACAGTATTGATAGTGGTGTGTGTAATCATCCATCTAGAATGCCACCAATCTTTGTATCTTATGACAGGGGACCTATCAGGTAACCAAAAAAGTTTGTGCGGTTTTTGAGGTTGAAATTACAGCGTATGTAAAAAGTGAATGAAGATACTTAATTCAGTAAAGTAAGCACCATCACAATCTATAACCTTCTCCCAACGAGATACAAGCTTGTAAATACCACTCCGAAAAAACTCCTGATCTTTAGAAGCGAAGAAATCATTCAACTCCGTTTCCAGCGCTGCTCGGTTTCGAAATTGTCGCATATGATTGTCCAGCGCTGAGAAAAGGTGGTAGTCGGATGACGAGATGTCTGGTGAATATGGAGGGTGTGATAGAATTTCCCAACCAAGGCTGTGGAGCTTGTCTGGCGTCACCTGCACTGTGTGAGGCTGCGCATTGTCCTGATGAAACACAACGCCTTTGTGATAAACCAATGCAGGCTGTTTTTGGAGCAATGCATCTTGAACTCGTTGCAGTTGTGCCAAGTAGACGTCCGCAGTGATTGTTTGGCCAGTGGCAAGAAGCTCATAATGGACGATACCAGCTGTAGTCCACCAGACACATAGCAACATTTTCTGTTGATGATTGTTGGGCTTTGATGTGTGCGGTACAGATTCACCGGATGACAACCAATGATACGAACGTTTGGTGTTGTTATACCTAACCCACTTTTCATCGCACGTCAACAACCGGTCCAAAATGGCTCATTATTGTGGTAGATCATTAGCCGCTGGAGTTTGTTATTGACAGTCAGTTCAAATGGTACCCATTTGCTCAGCTTCCAGACTTTTCCTAGGCGATGCAAATGCAAACGAATGGTTTCATCACTCACATTGAACCTTTCTGCAAGCTCTTGGCACGTTTGACTTGAATCCAACTCGATGGCGGTCTTAAGTTCATAGTCATCAATGACGGTTGGTCTTCCCTCGTGGGGCGCATCTTCAAGTGTCTCATCACCTGATGCAAATTTTCTAAACCACTTTTGAGCTGCGCGTTCACTCACTGTGTTCTCTGCAAATGCTGTACATATCTTGCGTGCTGCTTGCATCACGTTAGTACCCAGTTTAAACTCATAAAGTAAGCACACTCGAATAACTGTAATCGGAGCAATGTTTTCGTCACCCTGCACTGTTTCATCGAATCACCCTTCAGCTTGCTAGACATCAACTGACTCAGTGGGACATGTGCTTTCAACTGTATTGACGCATACGCCAATGTGCAATCGTGCTCACATAATTTTCCTTAAAATGATACGTTGCAAAAACCGCACAGGCTTTTTGGTTACCTGATAGCATAACTTAATTAAATGGGTCCTGGTTACACTGCCTTCATCCCTGTGATGTGTATATATTTTTGTATCGCTTATAACTCACTTTGGGGGTCACATGGTGACCACAGAAATAACAGGCTTGTCCCAGTAATATTACTTGAGTGAAAGAATGGCGTGTCAACTGTCATTCTGTTGTCTAGTTGGGTCTCAGTAGCCATCAGGTGGTTTTCTTATTGCTGGGTCTCTCCAACTATCAACTGGTTTAGTGGTATTTCTGTTAATAATTTGGTAGGTAGCATATTTTAGTGATTTCAACTTTTGCAGCTAGGAAGGTTTGATACCATGTGGGAAAAATGGACTTTGCAGGAGCAGGGTCCATAAACAGACACACTTGGGGGAAGGGGGAATTGCTGAAATCTAAGTCCATGGATTCATAGTAAGGAAAAAAAGCTGGCAAGCATTTCAGCACCTTGTAACTGTCAATTATTGATTGCGTATCCAATGTAATTTTTTTGCTGCATTTATGAAACTGTTTGTTTCTCCCATAGAAAACTGTAGAGCTTTTTTTTTTTTTTTAGCACCCTATATATTTATTTACGAAGGTGGAGCTTATGCATTGTGCTGTTTTAGTCAAATAGATAGATAGTTGGGCTGATTTTCTACAGGTTGTGGATAGATAGATAGTTGGGCTGATTTTCTACAGGTTGTGGATTCAATTTCCACCCTTTGTCCAACTTTTTTCTAGTAAGGGTAGGCACCCTAAGAGAGGTGTCAAATTAGAGAGGAACATGCTGCATTACCAAAGGGGCGAGCACGAAAGCAAGGAGGTTAGCAATAGTCCCAGAAGAGGATAGCCTTAGATGATAGACATACCCAGTACACCCTGCTGATAACCAACATAGTGAGCTTGTGTACAACCATTTTTAACAGCTGTCATGTAACTTTCCTGCATTGTTGAATCAACTAAAATTCAAGTCACAACTTATGTTAGCAATAAAATACAATTGAGTCCTTTTGAGTGGAGGAAGCTATTAGTGAAAATTTTCTATAGTGACCAAGTGACCATTAAGGATAAAAGAAACATTTGTTTTTTGCAGGTCTTGAGCCTTGTGCATTTTGGAAATTTTAAAATGTAACTGTGCCTATCTGGCATTCATCATTTGTTGTCTTGTCTAGTCATTATTTTGACTGACAATAATCATCAGAAGCTTAAAGTGGAGGATAGGCAAGAATCATCTGCCATTTCATGCGTAAAAGAATGGCCTCAGAAAACAGATGTGCCTCTGCTAAGGGGAAGCAAAGCAAAATAATAATAATACATTTCTCCTTTTTGCTGCTTCTTTTTTGCTCATCTGGTATTTACATCTCACCTTCAGTTGAAGTTCATGAGGATTTTCCCACAGAGCTTCCAGCATTCTGACATGTTGAGGACATGCAGATCTTTGTCTTATGAGCAAATAGTTTATTATTATCCCTCTTTGTCTCTCAGGTTCCAGAAAGCATTGTTATTATTAGTCAATGTTGATTGCACATGGAGTGAAACGAATCCTCTGCCGACTCCGCCATCAAGTCTTCATCAATAGGATTGTCTTGAGACGAAACAGTAGGAGTTCTATTTGCTGCCTCCCTTTCCCCCCCCCCCCCTCCATTTAGAACTGGTGACCAGATATTTGAACATTTTGGATAGTCATGTACTACTATGTAATATTGATTCATTAGAGTAGAAAATCCTGTTTTCAATTAGTACAGGCATACAAAGTGAAGCAGTTGATATTTAAAAAAAGATATGCTCAGGAGAAGTCTTGGGATTCAAAATGATAAGGGGAGCTTTTCAGCAACAGAAAAAGTCACAGTTGAGTATGAGCTAAATCTTGGGAGTATTAGGGCCACAATGTCTTACCAACACTTATTGGTATCCTTAACTTACTCCCTGACCCAGTGAAAATAGACAAGATTGGATGTTGGTTCATTTTTTTTTTTAACTGTGTCTTGATAGATAATAATGAGCAGAAAAAGAAAAAGTTGGATTTTGATCTGTGGCTGAGAGGGTAGTCAACATTCAGGATTTAGGAGTCAGATGTGATCATCAGGTCATATGGAGTACCCTTCATGGGCACTGCCCATCAAATTTGAGTATCGAAGGGAATGGATTGACAATGAAGAGAACCTGAGGCTGAAACTGAATTGAAAGTGAATGTGGATCATCAAGGCAAAAGTTCAGTGTTAGGAAACTATGGGGATCTAGTTGGAATACATTTTGCATGGATTCAAAAAATGGTTCCACTGGGCTTGAGCCATTGCTATAGAGTGCTGTATGAAACACTGAGTGTTACATCTTGTGTACATAGAGAGGATGGTGACACTGAGCTTGAGTCACTACTATGGGATGCTGTGGGGGGCATTGAGCATGTTGCGAGGGATTGCAGACCTTGTGACATCAGTCGCATTCCGCATCATCAACAGTTACTTTCCAGAGAAGATTCCCCCAATCCAAGATCTCCTTCTTCTTGACTCTGCCACAACCCTTGCCCTCAAGATCCGCCAAAAGAAAGTGAGGCTTTGTTTCCATCCCTCTCCATTTTCTTAGACAACAGATTACTTGGAGCAGCAAGAAGTCTAAACTCCCATAGAAGTACAGGGTGGCCAAAACTCCAATTTCTCTACATGTCACTTAGATTATTATAAGATCATTTGAGAAACAGCAAATGTTGCTGTTTCTCAAATGTTGCTGTTTCTCAAATGTTGCTGTTTCTCAAATGTTGCTGGAAAAATATTGAAATTGTTTTGTCTTTCATGTCATATTGAGAAAGAAGCAAAAGTTGTTCCCCTTATTATGAAAGCACAAGATTTAAGTCAGCAAGAAAAGAAGACCAAGTATCAGGCAGCATTCATTTGATTGGCCAAAATCCAAATTTCACAGTAGTCAAAGCTAACAAATGTCACATTAATTTTACATGACCTCCATGTGAAGGGCACTTAAAAATTTCCTTGAATTTATATGAAATTTAAAAGTTCTCAACTATTGCCATACATCAGGTAACCTTTAAAAACTGCTTGAAGTGATTTGCAATTACAGTTGAGGTTCAATATAATGAACCACAACAATATGACAATTCAATTTTTAATGAATTTTTTTCCCAGTTCTCAGCTGTTTGCTCATTTACATGCATGTTGAAAAGTTTCTCTTTAACCCTTTCAGACCTGGCGTCCATTCCATTGGACGTTGCATTTTCATTGTGTCTATGGTAATTCCTTGGGATTCTCGTGACTTTGCGCTCCATATTACTCTAAAATGGGTGCAATTATGCATGACTCAATTCCATCAGAGGCCTTCTCCCACCTGGCAGTTTTGTAATCTTCAATTATGTAATTACATGTATAATATATAATGTATGGTATGATATGGTTAATTTATGCAAAATATAAAACATAAAAAGTTAAAGCAGATTAGTAAAAGAGCTCAAAAATGCAAAAAAGTGTATTATTCTGATTGTGGCCTTAATTCAGGTCTGAAAGGGTTAATGAAGTACTGACATCAGTCAGTCGTAATCTCTTCAGTGAGTAAGGAAATGGGAAAAGGGGAAATGAAAGCTTTCAGCTATTTTTTAAAGACTAAACGTTGAGTCTGAAACTTTTCAAACATTGAGTGCTCTGCAGACCACTGCTCAAAGAATTATCCAGGAAGAAGCATAGCAGACAACCATTTGGGATGTTGTTTCCAATGAATAGATAGGATTGGTGGCTTGTCTGATTTTTATTACACTTATTTGAGTACATACTACTGTGCACACCTACCTGTATATAGGCCTGTACTTACATCTTGGAAGCTGTATTTTCACAATATGACATGTACTTGGACTTTTTGCATTTTTTCACGAATGGACAACTTCTTGCTTTTTTTGTTATAAGTGATGTTATAGAATGATACTGATAAGTCATAAGACAGATCAATTTTTTCTGTGAAGGGTGAGGAATTCCCTTAAACAAAATTTTCATTGTACCAAACTTTTTTGGCCTGACCCTATATCACTATATCAAGCACTGACTACTCCATCATTCTTGAGCAGCAAAAAAGAAAAGTAATTACCTTAGCATGTTTGGTAGCAAACATTATGCACTTTGACTCATTGCTCATGATCTAAACTCAATTTGCTGGAATCAATTATTTTGGGATGTCTAAGTTTAACAGTCAGTTTTTACATATATAACTGTATCTGTTGCAAAATCCTGTGTCTTCGATTTATAAGAGAGGCATTTCCATTCATTGATCAACTTCCAGGTCATCCTATCTCCAAATCAGCTAGGTATCACAATATTTTTCTTTTTAGCACAATAAGTCTCTCTGGAAACTAATGCAGTTGCCTATGATAAACCTCCCTTCTCCCCCGGAGCCTGAATTTACCCTCAAGTTTCAGCTCTTTGTCTGACTAAGTTATCAAAATCAAATGAAAATGCATTTCACTCACCCACCTTTAGCTGGAATGTGGAGTGATCCCATATTTAAAATAAGGAGTGGTCAAGCTGGTGTATGATGCAGTTTGCTCTATACCTTTGCCTATACAGTTGCATACTGGATGATATTCAAAGACTTGAGCAACATCATAATGTGAAAATTTTCTTATAAGTGTGAATCCAGTCTGCATGTTAATTTTTGAGAGAATAAGATGCACATTATTATTTTTTCAATCTGTCTTCAGTGAAATATTTTGCATGTAGCAAATAAAAAATTTTAAGGTCTTAGGATGGAAAAGCAGCTGGCATTTTTGGACATATATATATATATATATATATTTGGATATATATATATGCAGAACATTTTTTGACATGCTGAAGAAGTTTGTTTTGTTTCACAAAATTATGTTACATGATCCCTTGTTCTGTATGGACAGTCATCTTGTCATATGTCCATCAGAGCCATCTTGTGAGTCTCTGACATCAGAGAAGGAGGTAAAAAAAAGCCTCTATTTCCCCACAAAGGTGACAAGTGAGAGGGTGGTGAAGGCATACATAAAAAGGATACAGGAAGTGAATGGAATCCTAAATGCAATGGTTGATGAGAGATTCAAGGATGCTCTGGAAGAGGCAAAGGCTGTAGACCAGTTCCTGGCAGAAACTCAAAAGACAGAGGAAGAACTGGCCCTGGAGAAGCCCTTTCTTGGTGTCCCCTTCACCAACAAGGAGTCCATTGCTGTCCAGGGTCAGACATTCACATTTACTTGTCCTGCAATATGTTTTTATTCTCTTATTGCTGTTGCATTGATCTGGTGTTGAAAAAGAAAGAAAGAAATAAGAAACCAATGGCAATGTTTGCATGTGTATGAGTGGCAAAGCACAAAGACTGCTTCCAATGTATTTGCTGGTATTCCTCATTGCCATGGTGAAGGTAAAACATAGAAGTACAAATATAATCCCACTGGCTTCATTTTTTGAGTGTTTGTGTTTTTTTTATAATTTGCTTTTAATCTTGAATGAAACTATTGGAAAAGAGAAGTTTGAAAGGAAGGCAATCAATAAAAAAAGTCATCATAATTATTGGGACAATAGTTTTATGTCAGTCCATGGAACCTTCTTTGTAGCTGTTTCCTGTAGACTTGCCACAAGTCCAACAAGTATGCAAGTACAGGGTGACTATAAAGTCCCTTCTGCAGCACTTGACATTGACATTCACATACTACAGGGTGAGGATGCAGGTGAGTGGGTGGTGAATCTTGGAGGAACCAATAAGAGAAGCATCCAGAAGATGATGGACATCATTCTGGAACTGTATGACAATGGGGTACTTGATCAGATCACCTTTATGCTTGATAGTGCTCCACTCCACATTGCCAGTCCAGTGGAGGTCCTATTCTGGGAAACCATGGCAACAGTAAAAAAGAAGATACTGTCCAAAAGTCACGATCATATCTGCTTTATTGAAAAGTAACTCGCTAAATATTTTATTACTTACAGGTATATAGTTTGGACTAGTTCCCATAGATTGCACATTTATCCATTATGTTCACTCTGTCATGCTCAACTTCATATATGTTGAAACATGTCCCTGCACACTTTTATTGTAATGAGAATCATGGCCACGACACAAGTGCATTGAGCATGATGGCATCCACACAGAAACTATTATTTTTTAAATTATACATATTTTATTATACAGGGTGAGGCAAAAGTCACTATACAGTTGGTTATTCTGTGGTTTCCCTTGATTCAACATCATCCACAGAACTGAAGCCTTCTGTCTCGATCATCTTCTATTGGGTTGTAACATATATTCCCGCTGTTTTTATATTTTGTTTGTTTTCACTCCATATTTTTGAAGTTTGGCAAAGTGGATATAGTCATTCGAAAGAGCGTTCTTTCCTCTACAAACTTATTGCCACCATTTTTCCAAATAACTTAATTTTACTTAACTTTCAGGTATTTGAAATGGAAATACCAGGCGGCAAGAAAACCCATTTTCGACACTTGCTTNCAAACTTATTGCCACCATTTTTCCGAATAACTTAATTTTACTTAACTTTCAGGTATTTGAAATGGAAATACCAGGCGGCAAGAAAACCCATTTTCGACACTTGCTTTATTTCGCGTTTCGCCGTAATCAAAAAGCAGCCGAAGCAGCTCGGGATATTTGTGCCGTTACAATAAGTTTGTAGAGGAAAGAACGCTCTTTCGAATGACTATATCCACTTTGCCAAACTTCAAAAATATGGAGTGAAAACAAACAAAATATAAAAACGGCGGGAATATATGTTACAACCCAATAGAAGCCCTTGGATCAAACAAGGTATATACAGGTTGAATTTAGCATCACGCAGCATGTGATGAAGGGAACAAGTGTTGATGCCTAACTCAAACGATGCCTGACATGTTGATCTCTCCAGACTCTGAACAAAAGCTTGGGCCAATAGAACCTTGTTTTTTCTGTGGTTACTGTGGTAGGTCTCCAGCTTCATGGTATTTTAATTACAGAACCAGTCTCATGAAATTAGTCAGGTAATTGATAGATGGCTAAGTGGGTCATTGGATCAGTCTCAAAACTTCCTCTCTATGCTCTTCTCACCTCCTCAGTGTTCTCTGTCTTCAATGTCTTCAGCACAAAAAATTCTCTCTTCCTTCCTTAGTTTTCTTGGCATGTTTATGCCATTGTGTATCAACCTTTAAAAAAAATTAATGACCAACTATATAGTGACTTTTGCCTCACCCTGTATGTCGCAAATCTACTAAAGCAAATAAATAGAGCTTATGGTAAGTACAGTTTATTCAATTTTGACTTTTGGACCACCCTGTACAGTGAAATTTCATTGCAGTCCTGTTCTCTTTTATCTGTGGGACTTGATGAAGGCACAGGTCTACCAAGGCATTCCCACAACACCCTTGAGAGTTGAAGGATACTGTTCTACAAGAAGTCCACCGCATATTATCGGACATGCCACGTGCTGCTGCTTAGAATATTATTCTATGTCTAAAAACAATTTTCACTCATAATGGAGCACACTTGGAGTCTCCCCTTGAATAGCCTGAACCAAGGCTCCTGGATAATGTATGCGATGGTGGTGCCTTCATAACCTCACGACCCTTTTGGTCTCCTCACCCTCATTCAACATTGCAATCTTCTGTATTCTAAATGGAATGTTTCCCATCACCCATGAGTGTGAGCACTCTGGTGTCAAATGCCACAGAAAATACTTTATAATCACCCTGTACCTGAGATTCCAAGTTTTCCTATAGTGGAACAGCATAGACTCAGATCCAAAGTGCATAGATCATGTTGCCAATCATAATATAGTATTGAAGGATTTAAGTAGTGGTTGATGGAAACAGGGATGAAGATCACATTGGGTCTGGTGAGCCGGAAGGACTGTGTATGTGAGAAGGATGCCATAGTTGTGCAGCTGATGCGGGAGGCTGGGGCCATCTCATTGGGGGTCACCAATGTCTCAGAATGCTGCATGTACTGGGAATGCTTCAATCGGGTATATGGTACCACACGCAATCCCTATGACACCCGACGCACCACTGGTGGCTCCTCTGGTGGCGAGGTCATTTTCCTTCACCTTCCCTTTTTCCCTATGTCTCTAAGGATTCTATGAAAAACCCTTATATTCCAGTTTTTTTAATAATCAAAATCTATTCAACTTCAGATCAAGATTTGTGTTTTGTTCCATAATGATAAATCTATCAAGCCCTTTTGCAATCCATGATGAATGATAAGGTGTTCTCATTATCAATCTAGGGAGCATTACTATCTTCTGGTGCATCAGCTATGGGAATTGGATCAGATGTGGGTGGCTCCATCAGGATCCCAAGTCACTTCACAGGAGTGTTTGGGTTCAAGCCCAGTGGGGGGCTAGTGTCAAATGAGGGACAACTACCTGTTGCTGTTGGTGACATTAACAACATGCTTGTCACAGGTCCCATGTCCCGCTTTGCTGTAGATCTTCCTCTCATCTATCGGGTCATCCTCTCCCCTCAGAACCTCTCACGGGTCCAGCTTGACAAACAGGTTTGCTTTATGTCCTATATTCAGGGTTTTAAATATACTCTTGTCAGATATGGCATAAAAATACCTGTATCATAGGTCTTTATTTTTTCTTTGGAGAAAGAAGTGGTGAGGCTTCTTATGCAGTTGACCCTGCAATGAACGGGGCACATTCAACATATGCAAAGGATACAACACTGCTTCTTTTAAGTGTGCCAAATCTATCTGATACTTTGGCTCATGTTTCAGGTTATGTGGCTGATCATAGAAAGCCTTTTTGTCTCTTGGTGTCACATTCCTAAAGATGTTTTTGGTCTTAACTTCAGGCCTATGACTGGCAGATTTTATTCTCTGATTCCTTTTCCACATAACTCACAATTGGAGTCAACACCCTGTTCATCCAAAGGAAAGAAATCTGTCACTTTGGTTCCTGTGTCTTGAAATTGACAATGTTTTTCCTATCACTTTTGTAGCAGTGATATCCTTTGACTAGCTCTTTAAAAATGAGAAGTTTTATATTGCCTTTCATCAGCTCCTGTATTGTGTTGCAAGATGGGCTCCATCTTATGGTATAGCCACTTTCCTATCCGTCAAAGTGGTCTTTATTATTTAGACTAAGACCAGAATTAACCACACATGACAGATGTGACATTGCCATATTTTAACATGTTTATGGGCATGCTCAGATTTCCCTACCTGAGATATGAAGATTTTTCCCTTGTGTCATGAGATAGCTGCAGTCTGGATGGATGGTGTAGGAGTGAAGAACTAAGTGCATTAGCCCCTGTCACTGAATGCAAGGGAACAGGAATGGGTTAACATTTGGAAATAATACTCCCAGGGAGTATTTTTAAATCTAAGTATGAAATTAGTACTAATTGCCAATAATAAAAAAATCAAGAAGGAGCTGAGCTTATATTTATGAAACTTAGTACATGACTCAAAGTGTGTAATTGCTCTGTTAAGCTTGAAGGCCATGGGATGACACTTAACAGAGAAAGCTTGCCAAGCACTCATGTATGCAATAATTATATCCATGTGTACCACTTAAGATATGCACCATTGCTGAGTGTTCAGCTGTGAATGAACACCAAGGCAGCAAAGACTTCATCTGCTTAATAAAGATTAGTTCGAAAGGCCTGAATTGTTAGCACCGCTACTGGACTTAACTCTTTGGCTATTATGTTCTTCCTATGTAGCACTGCTGCCTTTTTGACACTCCTGTCAAGTTAGTCATGCTGGTGAAACTGGCTTTGACATTGCTGCCTTTGCATCACTTCATGACTGAACACTTAGCAATTAAGCTAAATTCATTCAACAGAATTGATTGTATGGGGTGAGGTCAAAAATCACACCACTCTTTGGGATTCTTTTGGAGTTCATGAGACAGCAGGGCAACCATTTTATTTTTCCATTGACTTCTATGGATCTTCTATATATCTTAAATATCCCAAAATTCTTCCCTTTTTTTCCCAGCTATTTTTCAGCATTACTGATAATGTGAAAGCAGCTGTGAATTTTATTTTTTCAGGAGGAAATAAATCAGTGGGAGAATGGTTGGTATGCATTGAGCACTCCAATCTCAAGCTGGAGCTCCCCTGTCTGCCCATGAAAATGCTGAGTTTTTGCAAATGGATGGGGTGGAACAAGAACTTTGCAAGAATTTCTTGCAAGGGATGAAAGAAATGTAGGGATCAAGAGACTGATTCACAAACCAAGAAATTGGTTCATCTGAGAGGGAGAAGGGAAGTAAAAGACTGAAACTAGCTTAAACAGCAGAAAATCATGTTTATATGAAAGGAGTCATTGCTTCTCAAGATGAGAAGCAATCCAAGGATGCAAAAATCCCATTTGCAATTGCCAGACATGTGCAAATCAGAGATCTGTTCAGCAGATTATGAGGTGCAGAGGAAAAGACCCTTCTGAAAAATTGTCATCCCTAGTCAGTTGGGCAGGTCCTTGTGTCAGTGTCTTGATGAAATAATATTCCATTTTCTTTTGTAAAGCCACGTGTGGTAAAGCGGCTGGAGATAAATATGCAAAAGTTGGTGATGCTCAAAGATGCTCAAAGGGTGCATAGGCTTAATTATGAAAGACACATTGTTGTGTTAACTGCTGTTTCAAGAGGCCACAGAATTTCAAAGAGTGGCTCATTTTTGCCTCGTTGCCTCGCTGGTCAATTAGCTGGAACAGACTTCCCTCCTTAACCCTTTATGCCCTGTCGGGACTTGAAAGTCCTGCCTATATAGAATGCCTATATTCCTCCCACTTAAGCTTGTAACTTAATGGGACTTACAAGTCCCAATGCATTATAGTGTATCTCATCACCACTAGTTTATGTAGAAATGTTGTGACTTGTGCATCTGTGAGTGCCATTACTGAAGAAGAAATGAACAGTGAATAGGTTTTTATGTATTTTGTTAGAAACACCTGTGATAAGTGGCTTTCTATTTTTATATAGTATTATAAAAACATGCTCATTCATAATAAATTATAATGCGCTGAAATTGTGTTGTGATGTGAGCTTTATGATGAAAATTGTAACTTGGGACTGCAAAGTTCCAGCATCAATAAATATTGTTTTACAAGAATGAAAATTATTTTGGCTCATTTTTCTGTTTAATGAAATCTTCCTCAAGAATATAAATAATTACATTGAATAAATTTTTGTAAATGAATAATTCAGGGCATAAAGGGTTAAACTGGGAGTTTGGTGAATTTTCTGGATAAAAACTCATTTTATGCACTTGGGGTCTTTAATTGATTTCATTTCACACTTCAATAAGTTCATGTACAAGATTCCATCAAAATGCAACTCAGCTCCTTATTTTTTGTATTTTTACTATCATTAGTTTATGTTTAGTGAAAGCATAAATACTCTGGGGATGATTATGTCAAAGAAAAAGGCAGGCAAATTTTACAATGCTCTCAAAGGTAGAAAATGCCCTTGGAAAGAATTGTATTTAAAATGGACTGCAGATGTATTATTTTCCTAGGAATAACAAGGAAAAGGAGCTAAAACATCCCTGTTCAGTTTATGCAAATTTTTACATGGGGCAGATTACATAGTTGACAAAATCCAATAGCACTTTTGTGTCCATCCTATGCTGAAACAATTAATCTGTCATTGAATTCCTCAAAGCCATGTGCATTTTCATTCATTCCTTGTCATATTTCTTTGAATTGGAAATGGTGGCAGGTGAAGATGAGTGAGCTGCGTTTCTTCTACACGGATTGTGAAACCCTTCCACTGACATCCCCAGTCGACCCAGAAATCCGTGATGGTCTAAACCGACTCCTTGCTCACCTCACCAGTGCCTATGACATCAAGCCCATGAAGGTAGGGCTTCAGATAATATGAGGTGTGGTCCAATTGAAGTGGTTGCTACCTTGATTGAAAGAGGAAAAGGGGGGAAAGGTCATTTCTTTAATACTGAATTTTAAAAATTCTCCAATCAGCTCTGTGCATCAGTTCCAGCAACCGACCCATTTTTTTATCACTTCCTTCTACAATATTTCACATTGCCCTGAATACCCCTGGAAAATTGTCAACTAGAGTGCACTTCAACTTGAAATTTTTTTTCCATTGAGGTTATGCTTTGTTTTAGGGAAAATACAGAATTTAGCAGGTGCTGAGTCAGGAATGTTACCCCATAGTAAAGGGTCACCTTGGTGGAATAAGATTTTCAAGTCAAAGTGCCCTGTGGTTGGTGGTATGAGTTTTGCTTCAGGAACTCAGAATCTTTGTCTGAGTGGTTGTGCTTTTCCCAAGCACTCTGCCCATACCCTGACATGGCTCTGCCCTCAAAAGGCTACCTCAGGACCCTGTTACAATTGGATCAGGCACTAAACTGCTTTCAGCACTCCTGCCCTTTTATTTTTCTTGCATTGTATCTTCAGGGTTGGCCAAAAAAAAGTTTTAAAAAATCGAATTCAGATTTTGTCAAAATGGTCAACTTTTTTAGTGAACAGGCTTGTGATTTGCAAGGCATAAATTCACATTTGATTTTTGCTTGAAAAATCAGTTCCTATAGATGAAAACTTAACAGGACATTTTCAGGTGTATTTTTTCACGATCTGAAAATGTCATACATGTGCAAGAAATTTAAGATATTTCCATGCAAAGGCTATGCAATTTTCTGGTGTGGGGGCACCTGTGCATGCCAAAAAACCTTGAAATTCCCATCTTTCCTCATCTTATGATGCAGCATAGGTCACACAAGCACAATGTGTTTCCAGGTGCAACCTTTGTGTTATCTGTCGAACAGGATCCTGGGGTCTTTTTGTGAGTAAAAGTCACACCAGTGTATAAGCAGTGGTGCTTGGGAAAAGTAAAACCACTCAATTGAAGTTTCCAAAACCCTGAAGCAAAACCCATTTCCAACTCCTGATGTTTCCCCTAGATCTTGCATGTTCCTAGCATGTTCACCTGTCACTTCAGCTATCTGTTGCAACTTAGAAATGTAGTGCAAAGGTCAATGACTTTTGGTCATTGCCTATGCTTCCCAAGCCTGTTGCTTTGGGAAATAAAATTATTCAACAGTTTTAAGGCACATTTTGCATTTTAAAAAAAGGGACTACCAGGATATGTAAGCATAACAGCTGAATCTTTACTTTGCAACAAGAGTATCATTGAACTTGGGTAAAATTAAAAAAAAAGGTTTACTTTTAAGTTAGTCAGTTAGTGCTGAACCAAATAAACTGAAGCAAAAAGGGTCTGAAATGTATTCTGTATGGTGTGAATTTGGGAATAATATAATGAAACTCATCAAACTTCCTTGTTGGTGGGCAAGGAAAGGATTAGAGTGCAGTTGGTTGGTGCTTGGTGACCTTTATCTTTGACCCCTAGAGGCCACACACTTTGGCCATTGTGTAAGTGAGTTGGAATTTTCGAATTTCTCCAGAAGTGCAACAAATGTGCCAAATTTCATAAATATCAGCTGGTCAATGGTCACTTTTTCCTGATTTCACCACACTTTCTTAGAGACAGACATTTAAAGGAAAATTGAGAATGGTAAGTCAGAGTCAGTCTTGGTAAGTCAGAGTGACTAGCATATAGGCTAGTAGCATAAAACTGGTCCAGTTGAATTTCCTCTACTTACAATAATTTTTTGCCATTATACAGTGTGGAACAAAGGGTTTGTGTGTGCCTTGACAGGTGAGAGTGAATGGGATGAAGCGGGCACTAGAGATGTGGACAATGAAGATGCAAGGGGAAGGACCCTCTTTCTGCAAGGAGATCTCCTCCATGCAGGTCTCACTTCCTCCTTCCTCCTAATTCGATAAGTACCTACAGTACTAGGTAAGTCTGGGAGATGGATATGAAGTATTCCAAGATTGGAGTCAAATTATCTGAAAGTGCAGTGCTTGAATCACAATGGTATGGTACAGGATGGTGCAAAAGTAAACTGTCCCAATTCTTGCAGCTATAAATATGCAGGTACAAGTATTTTCCTATTAAAACTTTCAATATCGAAAATATCAGTACCGAGCAAGTGAGAAGTGCATTACAGACACCTTTATTCTAGTGCTCAAATTGACAACCATCTACAGTGCTGAGCAAAAAAAATTGAATGGATCTATCTGAGGAACGGATCAAGATTAGTGGTTGTGGTTATGTGTAACAGAACTCGTTGGATCCTGATTATCCATAAAGTTTAGTCTTTACCTTTTAATTGAAACCATTTTCTGAAGCAATTGATAATAATATTACTTTTTTCAATAATCATGGTGCTAACAATAAAGCAACATTGGGAAATTGTTTTCCTCACTACCCATGAGCTTGGTCCCAAGCTTTCTTTGGCTGTGGCTGCAATGCATGTTGGCTGTTCAAAGTCGACAGCACATCACTGGGTCGAAATGTTCAAGCAGACTGACAGCGTGGTGGATGAATTGGGAAGGAGAAGATAATGGAAGTCCATGGGAAAGGAGGATGAGCTGATTGTGCAAGAATGTCAATTGATTGTCCTCTATGCTGCCTATCTTTTTGAACATTTCAACCCAGCGATGCACCCCCAACTTTGAGCAGCCAACATATTTTGCAGCTGCAGCCAAAGAAAGTTTGGAACAAAGCTCATGGGTACAGGGGAAAATTATTTCCCAACACCAGTTTATCATTAGAGCCACGATTATTGAAAAAAGTATCATTATCAATTGCTCTGAAAAATGGTTTCAATCAAAGAGTGAAGCCTAAACTTCATGGATGATCAGGACCAAACATGTTTTGTTCACACACATGACCACAACCGCTAATCTCGCACCATTCCTCAGATAGACCAGTTCCCTTTTTTTTGCTCAGCACTGTATATCTGTGTATTTCCTGCAGCATTAACCCTTTCAGACCTGGCACCCATTCCAATGGACATTGCATTTACATTGCATCTATGGTAATTTCTTGGGATTATTGTGACTTTGCACCCTATATTACACTACAATGGGTGCCATTATGCATGGCTCAATTCCAACAGAGGCCTTATTTCACCTATCAGTTTTGTAATCTTCAGCTATGTAATTAAATACATAATATGTCATCCCAAAAGTTCGAGAACAAGTGTGAATATTTTCTTTGCATGTGATCCAGCAGCAACGGTCTTATCATAGTGTTCATGTTGATGTTTCATGGTGCTAACGTAGGAATGTGTGTTTAGCTGCTCCTTCCCATTGCAAAGATATTGCATTTTTAAATAGACATACATTTTACCACTATGGAAGAAGATGATTGGCTCCAGCGAGGTGGGATTTTGTTTCTGTGGAAGCAGAAAAAGTCACAGGTCGTGAGCTACAAGAAGTTTACAGGAACAGAGCTTTCAGCAAAGTGCCATAAATAAGTGGATGCATCGCTTTGGAGCAGAATGAGATACAGTGGATGATTCGTCAAGGTCAACCTGACCTTGGCGCACACTTGGAGCATGCTCCCGTTGTCATCCAGTGGGTTCAAGTGACCCCAGCAAACTGGTTTGCTGAAGGACTTGAGAAGCTGATAGAATGGTGGTAGAAGTGTGTGCAACTGCGCAGGAAGTTTATTGAGAAAGTTTACTTGGAATAATGCTGCATTTGGTGTTTCAACTTGATGAAGAATAAAATGTTCTCGAACTTCTGGGATGACCCACATATATTATATATGGTACGATATGGTAAATTTACACAAAATATAAAAACGATATATAAAACATACAAATTTAAATTACAATGGTAAAAGAGCTCAAAAATGCAAAAAAAAAGATATTATTTCTGATAGTGGCTTTAATTCAGGTCTGAAAGGGTTAAGAAACAGAGTCTGTCAGAGAGCAGAGTAAGGAACAGAATATATCATTTGACAGAAATGAATGTTGGACTTATTGAATTCCTCAAATTCTGTTGCCTGTAACTAAGCATGAGGTTGTGGTTTATGCCTTAATGCATGATCTTTTAGAATGTCCCAAATGGAATAATCTATTGTTGTCAAATTCCCCTGCAACCAATCCAGAAACCAGAGAACATTGCATTAGGCCATAGCAATAGTAACAAGTGGATGTTCCAAGATTTGCCACTTTGAGCATTCATTGAGCATTACCAAATAATTTGCTTCTTTAACCATCTCTTTGAAACAGAAAGTTCTGATAATGATGATAATGATGATCTGGTTCAATGGGTACCAGCCTACCCACAAAAACTATGGCTAGGTAGAGCTCCTGTTCATTGATCACATGTGGGTTTGTGCAGGGTGCAATATTTGGGGCAACTAATTTTTGGACTATCCTTGGCAAGTGGCACTTAATGTTTTATTTTTTTCCTGCTTGAGGTTAAAATAAAGAGAGAGATCCTGAAATTATTGAGTCCAGGCAAATGTAGATTACACCTTGGATAGACAGGGTTTTTATTTTATTTGTTGAGAAGTTATTAGACATTAAGTAGACATTAAGAATTAAGAGGTGACAGAGTTCATCCATGACTGCTGTATGCACTGTGTATAGCCAAAAGAGGTGAATCCATTTGTGGAGGGAGTAAAGAGCCTGGTGGGCTACTCAGACCACACCTATCCAGCTATCCTCCTGGGGATTCTTGAGAAACTCCTCCCTCACACCCAGGAGTTCTATGACAGCATCAAGCAACAAGCTGATGCCTTCCAGAAGGAGTTCCAGGTCTGTCTTCATCCTTTTGTTCTCGAACCTTTGACCTTTCATGGAAATGGAAATATTCCAGCCATGGTTTTTACCTTTAGATTGAAAGTCTATTAATGCTGCTTGTACAATATTTTGGAGAAGACATAACAAAGTGAGACAAGAAGACATTCACATCAAAACAAATAAACATAATTATGATCTGGTTGATCATGGATGCTGACTAGTTTGACATTGCTCTCTCTATTTGATGAAAGAGCAGGCAATGGTAGAACCATTCCTTGATGCAAGAATAACATTAGTATAGAACATATCATCACCTTTGTGTGCAAAGTTTGTATCTAAACTTTTAACATTTTCAGTTCATGTGGAAAAACTGTTGACTATTATTAGGTTACAAAAGTTCTATCGGTTTTTTGTATGTGTTTCTTTGCGGATCATTTTTTGCATGGTTGTGGTGGTGTCAAGTTATATATTATTTTGTAGTGCGTGCTTCGGTGTATATTATGTAAAACTTACCTTTTTGAAAACCTAAAATGGGTGCCTGTTTTAGGGTTCTGAGTGAAGCATGGATAAAAAGGTTTTTCGTGCAATTTTGCTCCATGATTTCAAACTGGGACCCAAAGCAAGCGAGGCAACTCATAACATTAACCAAGCATGGGGCTTGAACACTGCTAATGAATGCACAGTATAACACTGGTTTGAAAAGTTTCAATCAGGAGATGTGAGCCTTGAAGATAAAGACTGTAGCAGACGTCCTTCCATCTGTGATGATGGCTGTCTGAAAGCCTCAGTTGAAGCCAATCCAAGAAAAACGGTGCAAGAAATTGCGAAAGAGCTTGACGTAAGCATTGCAACTGTTTCCTGGCATCTACAGTAGATGCAATCAGCAAGGTGAAGAAGCTTGACAAGTGGGTGCCCCATGAATTGAATGAAAAACAACAAAATCTTCAACTGGAGATCTGCTCTTCACTGATCATAAGAAACAAGAATGATCCATTTCTCGACCGAATCATTATGTGTGACGAAAAATGGATTCTCTACGACAACCACAAATGATTAGCACAGTGGCTTGACAGAGATGAAGCACCAAAACACATGCCAAAGCCCAGTCTCCACCCGAAGGTCATGGTCACTGTCTGGTGGGCTACAACTGGTGTCATCCACTATAGCTTCACTAAACCTGGGGAAACCATCACGGCAGAAAGGTACTGTCGTGAATTGGACGTTGTCCACCAGAAGCTGTCCCAACTACAGCTAGCATTGGTGAATTGGAAAGGCCCAATCCCCCTCCATGACAATACTCGTCCTCATGTTTCACAAGTCACTCTCCAGAAACTGAACCAGTTGGGGTACGCAGCTCGCCCTCACCCACCCTATTCACTGGACTTTTCCCCCATGGACTACCACTTTTTCAAACATTTCGACAGTTTCCTCTGGGAGAAATCGTTCTCCAACCAAGCAGTGATTGAAACCACCTTCAAGCAGTTCATTGACTCTAGAAATCCAGATTTTTTTCAAAATGGTATTATAACTCATTGGCAGAAATGTGGTGATTGAAATGGAACTTATTTTGATTGATAAACTTTATTTTCAGGAAAGATATGAAGTCTCAAAGTTGTGATTAAAAAACCGACAGAACTTTTGTAACAACCTAATATTATGGAGCAGGATAGGGCATAGCAGCTTAATAATTCTATTGAATAGAAGCTGAATCATTCACAGCAATCAACTTCCCTCCAGAGCCAGAAGTGTGACCTGAAGCAGAGATGCAACCTTTTCACCCATCATCTTCTTTGCATGCTTACCAAATACAATTTTTTCACACAAGGAAATTTGGACCAATCAAGATATGACCTTTTGTCACTCCATCACTCTCCTGGTCTCATGATTTGTTTAGAAATATGACATTTTCACACACTATGGAGATTATGAAAACAACTTTTGCTGTAATAAGCCCAATTTTTGTGGCCAGCCAAGATACAACCATTGTACGGAAAGGCAACAATATTTAGAATGGGGTCAGAACCAAGATTTGGTTCAGAAGGATGTTAATTTCAATTTAAGTGTTATCTGCTTATGCCATGGATGCCAGAAGAGTCCATTAGTTTTCTTATGGCAGTCATTCCTCCATTTGTTCTACAGCATTACTTGAACTTTAGAGACTTCATTCCAACAGCAAAAATTTTTGTATTTAGCACTATTGAAAGGATCCTTTCTTTCTTAACCCTTTCATGTGTAGTGGAAAGTATACTTCCTAGAAAACATTTGACTACCCCCATATTCTGGGAAGGCTGCACATAAAAAAAAATTTGCCCATGAAAGGGTTCAACAATTTTGGTTATGAGGCCATGAGAGGGGAAAACACCATGCATGCTATGTTATCAAACAGCAGAGCATTGAGAAGTGAATGCACATCCTGTTGATTGGGAAATGAGACAGCTCTTTCAGGTTTGATGTATGTAGATAGATGTGAAGCTCGTTGTGGTGATGGCAGCAGGACTGGTTGTAAATGTACTTATCATGGCCATGTGCCATTTTTGAGGATTGAGATCAAACTCCTTTTTTGAATCAATAATTCAGTGAGGCTTTTTTGCCGTCTAGTTTGCTAACCATCTCCATGGCTGATCATATCCAATTTGGTGGAAATGCTCCTATTGACTGTCATTGTTTCTATTCCCTCAAGTCTGTCTTCATATCTTTTGTCTGAAATGAAGTGGATGAAACCTAACACATCATCAAAAGCAGCAACTGTGACTGCAGTTGCTTTTCAGTCACTCTGCATTGGATTAATGTTGTACTTTTCTTTATTTTCACAGTCTTCCTAATGCTCCCAGAACATGCTGATCATTTGTCTGGGACAGTCTCAAATGTTCAACTTTTGTTTTGTTTCCTCAATAAGTATATAAATTTTAACTATCCTAAGGGGCAGAGGTACGATAAATCTGCTATAATTAGCATAATGCATGCAGATTTTTGTCAAATATATTTTTTTTACCTCATTTTTCATCCTAAGTAGTGCCCCAGTATTTGAGACCAGGCATCCTAGATTTGGTGTAAAAGCATTCTGGCAATCCTAACCCTGACCCATGTGACAGTTTACCCTCTCTCCTCTGTCCACAAATGTCATGTCCACTTTCTGTTATGGTGGCAAATATCCTTGTAAGTTAGCAAGTGAATTGATTCTTTTTTTCCTGTCACTTGGGTTATGGTATGGTAATAACTTTTGCATAATTTTGAGATGTAATGAGCATTGTAGAGAGCATGTTACTGTGTCTTATGGTTAGCTCCATTTCTCCACTGCCTTGTCAAAAAAAATGTGTGTAATGCAAAAGTGACTGTCACAGTACCCTATTTAAAACCTGCTTGATTATCATGACCTGGACATTGCTGTACATACAAACCACTGCTGCATATAAGATTGATGCAGTATATGAACAGTAGGTTTAATTAAATGCAAGATAGTTAAAGTGTGAGTAGTGACATTTTTTATATTATGAGCATCTCTCATGAGCAGGAGTCAGAGAAATTAGAGCCAGAAAAAATATTGCATGAGTAGCGATATCCAGGGTGGCCCATAGGTAAGTTTACTGTAGGATTTTCGGCTACATCAATTTCTTATTAACTTAGATTTGTTACATGTTGTATATTATTCTTTTTTGTATTTTAGATCCTGTTGATTACCATATTGGCTTCCTGCTGAAATGGCCCATAGACTTCCCAAAGAGCAAAGGATTTAACCATTGTTCATTAATTGGGTAAACTTCCTTATGAGCCACCCAGTAATTTGTTCCAATCCAGCAACACATTTTCTATGGTCCAGTCAGTTAATTGATCTGTACAAGAAATCATTTTTCATATTTGCCACAAAAAATATTTGGGTGAAAAGGTCATTTTGAGCTTAGCATTTTCCAATCATTGCACTTCCTAAGTAATTAATATTTTAAGGTGCTTTGAATTGGGCAATGTGTGATGAATATGAAGGGAGGTTTTTGGCTGTCTGCCTAACATTCCATAGGATCTGTTGGGAGATGATGGAGTGTTCCTGTTCCCATCGTGGCCAACTGCAGCTCCATTCCACAATCAAGGCCTTTTTCAGGCAGGCAACTTTGCCTACACAGCCATGTTCAATGCCATCAAGCTCCCTGTTGCTCAGTGTCCCCTCCAGCTCAATCGAGATGGACTTCCCATCGGGGTCCAGGTATATTCTCACCCACCTTTCAAAATGATGCATTGTCATCTAAACCTAAAATTCCAAGTATCTGTAAGGAATGGAAAACAGAAAGGTCTACAAGGTTAGTTGCAGTTAGACTGCTAAAATCCTGGCCTCTACCACTGTGAATCAACTAAAACATCAACCATTGCCATGCATGTGTGTGGGTCATGTTGAATTGTATCTCTTATATGATGGATCTTGCTCTTTCTTTCATTAGCTTTTTGGACTTATACATTTTAATGGCCCTTTTCACCAGTTTTTATCAATTTTCTCATTCAGCCAAATGTCCTTGCCTTGGACTGCACTCTAGGGATGTCAATTCACAAATGTAGTTTTTACTATTAATCTTTGCCAAAACATTTACTAATCAATTAATAATACCAATCAATTGTCTAATAAGCAAGACCATACACTCCCATATGATTGTGCAGTTCCATTTGACTAATTGAGGTACATTCATTAAAGTTCTCTTTGTTTTTTAATGTTTTTTTTTTAACTGTGCTTTTTCTCTGTATCAGGTGGTTGGTTCAATGTATAATGACCACCTGCCGCTAGCTGTGGCCCAGGAGATAGAGAAGGCCTTTGGTGGCTGGATTGCACCATGCTCCATTGCTGTCTGACTCTGCTTCAGGTGGCTATGCTTCTCAACGTGTATTGGACTCCCACTGTACTACACCTTTGTCCTCTCCTTCTCTGTGATGTGTTTCTTGTGATTTTTTTTGTCTATTTCATTCACCCATGGCATAGTTGGGAACTTGATATTTTACAGAGTCTACAACAAAGTGCACTCCTCAAGCAGATATACCATATTCTTTTATCCCCATTTCCAAACTTTCCTTGGATGGGTGATGGATTTGAATAACTGATGGGAACAAATATGACAAATGTGATGTGACCTGGTCCTGTATGAACATTTTGTGTCATGGCTTACAAAATAAATACAACCAGGCATTTCAGTGTGGGCAACACAAATCCATGTCCATCATCCTTTGGGGCACATTCAGTGAAACAGCAAGAGCTAATCAGCATTTGTTCCTTACAGCTGAAAAAAATTGCCATGCATCTAATGCAAATCATAACATAGCTAACAGAAAAGGAAGTGTATGTAAACTCTCTAATTGATTTGTTTCATGGTGTTTAATTTCAAAACTTAAGAACATCCACAGGACATTTTGTTCAACTTTTCCCATTGTTTCCTCATCTAACTATGCTTTCTTGACATTAAGAATAGAATGTTGCTATTGAACTTTTGAAGAAGCAGATAAGCTAAAACACAATCAAAATATGAGGATGATCACTTCCACTGGCCTTCCTTTTTGCCCTAGTTATAGTGGTACAGACAAAAGACCACACTGCTGCCACCATGGATTTTTGTGGAGAGGTATCAACAAGGGGGGTTAAATCTTGCACAAATGGTGACATCAGTGAGTCATTTCATTCCATTATAAAAACAGGCACTTTGGCCTTGATGACTCATTGCCTCGCTGGTTAAGGCCAAGACAGGTTGTGCACGCACTTTCTCATCTCTCACAGCCGTAATATAATCTACTTGGATTTGTCAGAGCCACATTGGCAGCATTGTACATACATTGCTGATCTGTTTGTTGATTTAAATAATATTCTTAGGTTCCTTAATTTCATTCACTCTCTCAGTAGCATTCGTTATGAAGGACAGTGGCAAAGTTTGCATTGTCACATCCTGTAAGAATACTTACAGGAATCAGCAGGCATAAAATTTTTCCTTTCATGAATTTCCAAAATATCTAGACAGAGAATATGAATGGCATCAAGTGCTTGGAAGTAAATCTATCCTGGATATGCTTTAGTGCACTTGCATCCCATATCCTTAGATTCCTATCGATTGAAACCCTACAAGACGCTTGAAGAAAGATGCCATTCCAACAGAGAACAGTATCATAGTGTCACCATGATAATTTGCCTAGATATAAGTCTCTTAAGGAATCCTCTCATTGGCCAAACAAGCCGTCCCCAAATTAAGTTCCAAATCGATGGAATGTAGAAGAGTGGAAGATTAATTACTTGAGCAGGCCTGGCGTAACATCATCCATTTCAGACAAAATACAACTATATGGGGAAATCTTAATTGAGACAGTGTTTCACAAAACAAGTTGGGTGTAGTTAGTCAATTTGCTCATAAGGAGTTCTGGAACCATCTGTGTCATCCCTATCCATTACTCATCACAGCCTACTACTAAGCCCATAACCTTCATGCATTTTTATTTCCATATATCATCAGTCAGACTGATTGGCTATCATGAAGTGGATGATATCTTCACAAGATAGCAGCAATGCCCTCTTGCCAAAAAGAGGCAGGAACCCAGAGCACCATAGAGTTGAAAATGCCTCCACTATCCACAAAAAATTATTGGTGCTGATCCTAGTCTTCTACAGAAACTAGAAAGCTCATAGATCTCAGAGCCAAGAATGGAGGAGCAATAAGATGTATACATACACCACCCCATGGAAGACACTCATCAGCCCTGTCAACAGCGCATGTTCCATAAGACCATTGAATGCAATGTGATGGAAGGGTACAAATAAGCAATGAAAACACAAATTCAAGACAGAGGGGGCCAAGAATGGCAGAGTGTGTGTGTAAGTGGGTGGGAGGAAATTCTTCATGAAGTACCAGCTCCTTCTCCAATCTCTGAATTTGTTGTCTCTGGATCGTCGTCATTATATATATTCTCAGCCATTTGCCACACCTGGATAAACAGCAGAAGAAAAAACCATGCATACAGCAAGTGACTAATCATCCAAGAGTCTCTCGCTATCTAAGATATACATCTCTCTTATTTATCTTAGGAAAATTCGAGGAAAAGTTTGCCTGAAAAGTATTTTAACCTTTTGCTCTCTCCCTACAAGACCATAAGTGTTATCAATCTCAGGTTGGTACTATTTTAAAGCATACCTCAATTGGAACTTATCCTTCACTTTTCTAACTTTTAAGTAAGAACAGCACTTTACTTTTAAGTAAGATAGCTAGATACACAGGATTAAGCACATAGCAAGTGATAAAGAATATCATACTTAGGTCTGCTATGACAATGATTCATGGCATGGATTGCTCTACTAGGCATTACAATGCATCAACACTCTGAATTGAAGTGCCAAAATCATATTTACAGATGTGTAAATAATGTCCAATTGATGCTGAGACCCCTGTGAGTGAGAGCAGGAGAGAATTAAAACTAAAGAGGGATGGACACTAGCAATGAGATGAGGGTCCTATTTCTTTGCTAACAGGTCAGAAGTTGATGCATCTAAACTATGGATATTTCAAGGATGTCTGATATATTAACCTTACATTGACTAAATTAATTTTTGGAATGGAAAAAAACACCTAATTCTCCTTTTTTTAATTTGCCCATAACTTTAAAATTATGGGCATACTTACAATTACTGGGCCCTTTGTTGGGCCAATATTGGCATTATTATTTTCTCTAAATACTTTATCCACTGGAAGTATTCCCATGGTGAAGGCATTTCTATTTGCAGTACTAGTACGGCCTGTACCAGTAAAACTCAGGCCCTCTATCAGGTTACAGCACCATCTTGCGGAAAAGAAAAAACCTCTTAGACTCATGAACCTCTCTGTGAACCTGTTGGATCAGTTGGATTCAACTGTCCCTTGAAAAGTTAAAGTTAAAAAATTCATTGAATTCTGAGATGGTCAAGCACAGGTAATCACCTCACTTGAGGTGGAATGATCCACCTCCCAGCACCTTTAATTCACCTCTAAATGGGCATTGCATGACTTAGGTAGGGGTGCTGAAAAAAAAGCTGGTAAGCATTTCAACACCTTGTAACTGTCAAATATCTATTGTGTACCACTGTAATTTTTTTTTACTACATTTATGGAAACTGTTTCTCCCATAGAAAATAGCAGAGCATTTTTTTTAAAACCACCCTATATATATGTATAACCAGTTTTTCATTAGATAAAAAATCGACTGTAATCCACAGTATTATGCTCATGGGATTGTTCATGACCTAAGCCAATGGGCTGGGATGATGGAATATTTCTTTAAAGCATGATTGGAAATTTTGGTATCTAAATGATTCAATATTCAAGCAATCTTAGCAGCATTCTGAAATGTCAATATTCAAGCATTAATGGGATAATGGGATTAAATAAAAAGAACAAAGAAGCAGGGAGGATCAGAGGTCAGGACAGAAGCTCACAGTCCAGATCTGTACCTGGGTTCACAGGTTGTGGGCCCTTACCCTAGAGGCTGTTCTCACTTCAAATTTTGAAGGAAAAAGGGACAAAAATTCCATTTGAGTTATGCTTTCAAATAATTGAAAACCAACCCAAGACAGATAACACCTCCAGTATTTCCTGTAGGAGGGGACCAAAAGATTAACTAAACACCTACACATCACACAGCAAAAAAATAAAATAAAATAAAATAAATAACTGATACTGGCAGCCAACTCTTTCGTTCCATGAGCCTCAAATACTGTCAGGAAAGGGATTACTTACAATAAGAATCAGAGGAAACAATATGCGTGAAGGCCAATCCATCTGTGTTCATATTTATCCAACTATTGGCGATTCAGTACTTAAATAATGACTATGGATCCAGCAGTTAGTTTTCTGAGGCATTCAGAAGTGAAGTAGGTAATGGAAGATAATTGGGAAGATCACCCATCTCACCTGCATGATATTATCTTCCGAAACTGAGCAAATGATCCAAGGTTCATTTGGATTCCATGAGAAGTCCGAGATCTTGGCTGTATGGCCACCATGGATGAACTGCCGAGAGGAGGAAAATATACCCCAACTTATCTCTTAATCCTCTTGAAAACATCAACAGTAGGCCACATCACTACTGCATTATGAGATCTATTTTTTTCTGGCCCAGCCAGCTTTGATTTTTTCTCTCATAATCACACACAGATCAGATTGGACATTCTTAGATGCCTATAAAGGGGAGCTAATACTCCTAGCTGTGTGAAATGATCTATTCAACATTAGTTCATACCAAAATACACCACATTTTCAAATTCAATGCCCTATAAAAGTGAAACCCCTCTCTCACATCCAGTTTACTTCAAGAGCTTCAAAGGTGAAGAGGAAAGCTTTGATAAAGAGTGAGATCCATGAATACTACAATAAGCTGGCTAAGACTGGGCAGAGAGCAGCAGCCAAAAAGCTTGGAATCTCTTCAGCCTTGCTTCATAGACTAGCTGTCTGATAGGGACCACAATAAGTGATGGTGACTGTATAAAGATTCTTAAACCTACTGCAGAGTTATCATTCCAATCAAGAGCATTGCACATTCCATACAAACAAAAGTTTGTCAAATTCCCTTTCAGTTTGGATCAGTCTGTGAGCTGGTTCAGTTCTGTGGCTTAATTATCAGCCATTATTTGGAAATGGAACCTAAAGTACTGGTACTTACAGAAATATCACACTTTTGATCCAAAGTTTTCACATTTATACAATCTAATATACCTCCATAACAGTGCAAAATTTTCAACTCCAAAATTCCTTGGTAATTCAGGTCATTCATCAAAGAGTAGCTATATTTTCTGAATAAGTGATGAAAAAAGAGAGTGTGTGTGAAATTCATAAAGAGTTCAGGGCATTGCAAGAAAGGAAAACTTACAAGAAGCTCAGGAGGTCCATCCTCAGCATCTTCAGGCTGTTGTGGCTCTCCAATCTTGCTCAAATCCCAGACATGGAGGCGGCGGTCTGTGCCACTGGATGCAAGTATGGTTTCATTGTGTGGGGACCACTGCACTTGGAATATCTCATCCTTGTGCGACTCAAATGAGTGGAGCTTCAACTTTAGGTTCCGTAGATCCCACAGAGCCACTGTCTGTGAAAGGAAAAAAAATAGCACATATCATTATGTAAATGGCAAATGACTTAATCAACAAGACTAGCACATTAATACATCAATGTGCACAAAGCCACTTACTAACAAGGGACAATAAATCATAAGTCCAACGAATTTATTTTTTATGACATGCATCCTTGGTATGGGAACAGCACATGAGCACTTGATAGGTTTCTCAAATTTAAGTTCCTACACCTTCACTAAAGCCATCCCATCCTCTTTCAAAAGAACTGGTACAGAGGCACCACTCAATACATAGCTTGTGGAACAATGGTAGACCAATCAGAAACCTGATATCCATAAATACAACACCAAAGGGGTAGTAATCTCCAAAGAGAGACCTTGAATGACCTGATGCATTGTATCTTACCTTGTCAGCTGATCCAGTGGCAAGAATGAATTCTGAATAAGGGTTGAAGGAGAGGCAGTTGACCTCAGCTGTATGTGCATCAACAGTATGGGATGGCTGATTGGAGTTGCTAGACCTTGTGTCCCAGATCATCAACTTCTGGTCATCGGCCACAGATCCAAACAAAGAATCATGGAGAAGATGCCATGCTACATCCTACAGCAAGTGAAAAATTTAATTCAATTTCACCAGTCAGCAATCCAACATCCTGTTGTTCCTGCATAACATTTGCAAGCAGATAACAAGGCTATTGCTAGAAATATGAGAAAAGAATAATCTGAGTCATTTCCGTGCCAACTCAAAAAATTGTGGTTGCTCAACCAGCCCAGAATCATTTGGAAGTTTGTACATATAATGCTTTCAGGAAGAATAGGTGAGATCAAACATTTCAGCACAACTGGCAAACCATTTTCAAGATATACTCCCCAAAATGTGTGGGGGCATTTAGGGAAGCCCTGTAATTTCCTACTACTTTGCCATTGGTCTAATTTAACCCATTTATAGCACAAATCAAAGTCCATGAAGAGTAACCAGAATATTATTAATTTTTACTGCTGTTAATAAAATTACTGGGATACAAAATCTGATTTTAACAAATTGAATTGGGGGTAGGGGGAATCTCTTTTACCTCCACATGAAGAAATTAAACTTGAAATCTCAACAAATGACAGTTTTCCTATCTTGGGGGGTGGGAGGGACGAGGAAAATCAATCTGGGCTCATGCCAACAGTTGTACACCATCAGATAGCCCATACCATGCCCTTCTCAATATATATTTCTACTTGCATCTATTAAATTCATTACTTTTTCTCTTGCTCATGACAATGAAATGTTATTTACCTAGAAGGTGCAACCCTGAAAGTGTCCAAACAGGTCCTCTGAAATCATGGGTGTCATAAGATCCCAGTTACTTTAACAAAAATTTTGTTCATGGAATCAATTGAATTACTGCAAGCCAATTGTAAAAAAAAACTATCAATTCACTCATAAAATGCCGGTACTTTTTTTTCATTCCCTTCAATTGAAAGGGCCTCTTGGTGTTATCAAGGAATCACCACTATGGGAAGGTGAACCATCTGTCACTGATGTCTCTTCCAAGAGTCCCAGTATCCATCATAGATAGCTCACTACTTCAAGTGACAATTTTGGTGTCATCTTACTTGCGTTGCAAGGACCTTATTTGTTTGAGTGTCTCCCATATAGTTAGCCTGCTGCTGGTTTTGACCTGAGACTTTTGCCCTCATGCACTGATTCAGTTTATCCCAGACATTTATATTCTACAAATCAAGATTCATCTAATGATACCCACGATGTCAGTGGACTCAATCAAACACAATGGAAATAATATTTTAACCCCTCAATTGCCGGGATTTTTTTTCATAATGCCATTTCCATATAGGTTCTTCCAAATGTTCAACAGTAAATTTTTATTTATTCAAAAACTCATTGGAATCGATTTAACACCCTAATCACCTGAAAGGTTAAATTTAAAAAGTCACAGTGGAGAGAAATGGGAAAAAAATCAATAAATTCAAAGAAACACGTCTAGAATACCTTGTCTTAGAAAATGGCTAGGAATGGGCTTTCTGATTGTGTACCATTTTTATGGGAAACAACCCAGTATTGAATTTTCCCCCTTAATGGGGGAAAATACAATTTTTTTATATTTTTAAAATCCAATCCTCCAATCATACAGAGGTCAAAGAAACAGCTTGGAAGTTTTGGGACCTGATGGGCAATTCTAAGTTTTAAGAAATTGAAACTGTCTCCATTCCCTAGATGGATAAATACACCCCCAAATAAGACTTTTTTGCATCAAATTTGGCAAGACTGGTACTTTTTCATTACTGTAACTTTGGGTTTCAATGTAGCACTTCACAGCAAAAATTATTAGTTGAATCAACAGCATTGCCACTCCTTACCTGAAAAAAAAGTATTACACATTCATAGATGAATGACAATTTGTCCCATTGGCTGCAGGGCTTCTTGATCACCCTGTGTTACAGGATTTCCCCAATTGCCTCCTTTCTCCCAAATTTAGGTGAGGGAATGATTAAAAGACCACTAATCAGATTGCACTGAAATGTTTAGTCCCACCTATTCTTCAGGCAGGCATTACATGTCCTGAATTTCCAAATCATTCTCTGTAGCTGAGCCTTGAATTTGAAATTTTTTTGGTCCAGTTGAAATTAAAAATGTTTGCACAATCATAATAGGTCTATATTATTTTCTAGCAGAGCTAAAATTCTTTAAAACATTCTACTAGATTCAGTCACTACAGAACATAGAGCATGGGTATACTCATTTCCAAGCAAACTGAAACTTAAGAATTCCTTATTTTCTATTTTTGTATACTATGAAAATGAAATGTCATTACCCACAATCACATACAATCTGTAACAAAGACTGTCATGATACAAGAGCAAGATGATCACCTCAACCACAGCTGTATGCCCTGTAAAGATGGTCTTGGCATCAATGACCCGGTTCTCCTTGGGGGTTGCATTGATGTCCCACAGGCAGATGGTGTGGTCATCTGATGCACTCAGCAAATATCCATTCAGGCTTGGATTCCAGCTTAGCCCATAACCTTCCTTCTGGTGACCCCGCAATCTCCATGGTTGAAAATAATTGCAATGTTTTAATATCCCAAGTGGAATCAATTATCCAATGGCAAGATGATGAAACAAAGGCCAAAAAAATGTCACTGTGGCAAGGATGGTCGGGTTGCAATGAAACAGTTGACCGATCATTGCAACAGAGAGCCCTGCATGAGCATTCTTTCACACATCCCTAGCAGCTCGCAATATTGATGGGAGCTACAAATAGGGACAGTGATGTCCTGCAATCTGTTATTCACAATGTATTTCCTCACCTCAAGTCAGGTTGGCACTCTCCACTGGGATCTGGCTTAGATGGGTGTTTAGTGTAGTCAAACACCAGTACGTCAGAGGAGGGTGTCTTTGTAGCAATCACACATGGGTTCTGAGGCATGTAACGGGCACGGTTCACCTCTCCCTCATGATTGATCTTGATCTCAATCTCTATCTTTCCAGTCACCGAGCCAAATCCTCCAAACTCTGCAGAGGAAATAATCAGGCATACTTCATCCTCAAGTCCAACTTCACGGATATTCAATTACCAGGATCGTGACTTTTAAACCCATCAGTTACTGAAAGCAAGCAGGAAGTGATCATGAATAAAATGAGATGAACTTGCCTCCTTTCTCATTATCATACTGTGATGCATCAAATTGGGAATCTTCATTAGGTAGCTGGACACTGGCAATTAAGAGGTGATTTTGTTCATCCGAAGTATGGGTTCCCAGGATCAATCTATGCTGTGTGTAATCCTTGCCTTCAGGCCTGAAAAACAGGGTGAACTAAAATGACATCTGTTCATAAGTAGACCTAGGGTGTTTTTTTTAAAGGCAGTTTTGGCTTCTTCATGTAGATCTGTTGTAACTAATATTTTCAGTTGGCTAGTTTGTCCTGGAAAACCCACCTTGTGACATCTGGCAGCCACTGCACTGTAAGACTGGGCCATTCCAAAGCATGTGTCATCACCAAATCATAAAGAAATGGCGTGTTCTTCTTCCATATTTTGTACTCTTCATTGATGACCCGCTCTTCAACAGCTTCATCAAAAGCTGAAAAATACAAGGTGAAGGAAAAGGGTAGGAATGTAGACCTGAACATGGCATAACTTGATGAAGCTATAAAAGCCAACAGGCTTTTCTTCCTTCTTTTCAACATTTTTTTCCTTAATAGGGTTAGGCCATGCTGGGGGAGTTGTATATTAATTTAATGGATACAAATTTTGTGGACACCCTTATACAGGGTGTCCACAAAAGAATGATACAAATTTGATCCTTAATAACTTTATCATAGAAGATGAAAAGATGAAACTTACAGCAAATTAAAGTCACATCAAGTTTTTTTCAGGTATGAATTGTACATTTGGCAGCCCTGGAGTTAGTTGAAATGGTGATGGTTCAAGAAAAAGCAAAATGTGTTTGATGATTAGTTGAGCTAGAATCTGCAACTTCGGTGCAGTGAAGATTTAATGCTGTTTAGAACAGAGACCCACCTGGCAGGCAATCCATTTATCATTGGAAAGAACAGTTTTTGGAAACTGGAAGTGTGCAGAAACAAGAAAGTCTAGGTCAGCCAAGAACTTCAGATGCTGATGTTGAATGGGTGAGAGAGAGGGGTTCACTCATAGTCCAGGGAAATCAGTTAGATGAGCAAGCAGAGAATTGGTAAGGTCACATTCAACAGTTCATAAAATTCTTCACCGTAGACTTCATTTGTATACCTATAAAATTTAAATGGTCCAAAACCTTACCAACATGACAAAGAAGATCGATATGACTTTGCAGTAGGTATGCTGTCTAGGTTGGAAGAAGATCCCGATTTTCTGAAGAGGATTATCTTTACCGCCGAAGCAACTTTCCCATTTCTGCTTAGACATTTTACGTGCTACACACGGGGCACATGTTGAAGTGACCTTGTGAAACTTTCAATAGAAAATCTTGATGATGTGACTATAATTTTGCTGTAAGTTTCATCTTCCATAATAATAAAGTTATTAAGGATTGAATTTGTATGATTCTTTTGTGAACACCCTGTATAACCTTAAGGGTAAGCAACTGCAAAAGCAAAAAAAAAACCTTTAGATCCAGAAAGCATATCAAAATACAAAGTACACTCCAAACTCATGGACCAATAAAAGTAAAAAGCAGAGGTAAAATTGCAATGAGATGAGGATAAGGGGGGTTGCCAAATATATTATAAAATTAAAATGTAAGTATATTACATCTAGAAACCCCTTGAAACAATACAAGGAAATGCAACAGTCAAGCAGGGATATTCAATAGTCAATCACAAACAAGGATATATAGCAGTGGTTGGCAATTGACGGCCTGCAGGCCAGATTCGGCCTGTAGAAGTTCCTCTGGCCCACGAAGGCTTGGCTATCACACATTACAATGACAGTCGCCGTTTAGCTGGACGTTTACATTAGACATTCATCAAATTTAACATTTTAATGACACTTGATAGGTGTTGGCCCAGGATCATGCAGCATTCTGTCATCTGGCCCCCATGAAATTCCGTTGCCGACCACAAATATATAGTAAGTACCAATACTAGAGATGCAGGAAGTATTTTCAATAAATTATTTCATGCCATAAGAAGGTAGCCTGACCAATCCTACTGCATCAAGGGAGTTTTCCAAAGAATGCTAGCAATTATAGCTTAAGTATTCTAAGCTGCAGTAATATCTTTGAAAGCCTGGTTCAAATACAGACACTACCATTCTTGGACTCAATTAGTTTCTTTGATACTCCACATAATTTTTCTTAATATCATGACTGCATTTGATTCCACTTTCCATGAAAAAAATTTTATTTTTAAATTTTTTTTTAGGAAGGTTCAACAAGCCTTCAACAAGTAACTTTTCATTCTAAGCCAAAACTAAATTTAAAAACCAAGGCAAACGTAACCAGTGATCACTGACCTTAGTCCATAGACATTTGACTTCATATATGAACAAGGTATGACATGACACAATTGTATAAGCCCGGATACAAAAATGTATTGGTCCAAATTTATATATTTTTCATGTATTTTCATTCTCATATGACAGTATATGACATGTCAAACCCAATATGTTTCATACATTTTCACATCCAGATCACAATTTATACTCTACTCTCAAAAGTATTTAAACACCCCTCCGAAATTAGTGAACGATGCAAGTCAGATGTATCCCACATGAAAATTTAATAAGACCATATATGAAATGGCCATATATTTAGCCAGCCTAACACATACAGTTCATATATGAACATATGTGAAACATATAAGGGGCTTGACATAAATCACATAAAATCATATCAATGAAAATATATGTCCCCATACATTTTCATATATTGGCTCATACAAATGCACCATATACTGTCAATATATGGCATGTCATATCTATGTATGGTGAGATAACCTGAAACATGCCTGTATCATAAAAGGGTCCATAACCCATCAAATACTGTATAATTAATATACAAGTCACCATACTTTGCTTACTTTTCTTGTAATCAACTCATTTTGTTCATACACCATAATCATTTATTCCAAGAACTCATGATTCATGGTGTGCACATATGCACTCTTGTTACTGAAGGTGAAAGTTTCAATATTATAGGCTTTAATCTTCACAAGTATCTTCATCAGTGATGCTATTTCATGACAAAACTTGGCTTCCTCATGTAGGAGTGTCTTCATTTTGATTTACAACTCACAAGACAGATGGGAACAAAAACTGTATTTCTTTCTGAAATAATCCAATGAAGGAATGATCCTAGGAAGACATGGTTCAATGGAGTAAACTGAATTACAGTTGGAAGATGTGTCTTTTTACAGTTCTTTTTTTTTGTCACATCTCACACATGTTCATGAGCAGGAGGGGGAGCCGCTGCCCCCTGGGACAGAGCTTGGCACCCCTGCTCTGCTGTCCTGTCTCCCTGACTCTTCAGCCAAAATATATCACTGACCTCATGTTACGTTTTATTTACAACCATAAGACTTGCCTATGGATATTTCCCACATATCAGACATGATGCCATTTGCCCATCACTCTTAGTATTGTAATGGAGGTAAAATATATTTTACACCATCCAATTGATAAGATATGAATACATATATGGTGGCACATGGCAAATATATGATCACACATGGCCATATAGAATCATACACCCTGTCATATTTAGATTTTTCACGTGGGATGCAAAGAAGGAACAGATATAAAATTATGCAGGAAACACCAGAAGTATCAGTAGCAGCCAGTATGAAGCTAAATTATATTTATAAATAAAGTTATATTCAGTCCAAAGGTGGGCCGATATGGTATTAATTTCATTAAAAATACATAATCAGCATTACTGGTGCCTGAATACTTTTGAGAGTACAGTGTATATTCATATATGCCCCCATATAGTTTGGACTGGCTAAATATATGGCTAGATATATAAGATATTACATTAAATTTTCAATTGGGTCACTTACTCCCAACATGGGATTGTTCCAAAAAAAGAACCGCTAGGAATGTAAGACTTCCAAAAGCTGGGGTGGAACATGAATAATTGCTTCTCATTGACAAGAAATTATGAGGGACCAAGGTCCTAGTTCTCTCCCCTACCTAACTTACCCTCAAGAGGGTCTAGCACTTCTTGAAACATACTAGAATATGAAAAATAAGGGTTCCAGCTGGATTTCACATTTGCACCAGCATAGTAGGGAAAGTGGGAGAAGGAGAAAGGGGATGGGATGAGAGCAGCCTTGGCCCTATTTACCCTTTAAGGTAAAGCTAGGATTGTAAGAGGGTAGATCATCCCAGTCTACCATTGTTCTGGTCAAGAAGCTATATCTGCACTGCACACGTTTTGTAGGAACACAGTTAAACAATGAAAACCATACAGGTTTTGTTTGTATTTCTATCAACCAATCCTAGCATTCAAAGTTAAGCTGAGGTTTATCACGCTTTAACTTATACAATAAAACTCGATGAAATTATGTTAAGTTAGATACATAAGTAAAAAACCAAGCCAAACCAACTTCTTTTTTTTTAAGTTTTAGTGAGTTACATTGTGACACTCTTCTTGCTGGTATGGAGGTCCTGGATATAGCCAGTCGCTATAGTCTTAGGCCTAGGCTCATGAAGGTGAAGAAGCACCACAAGCCTGACAGTTAAAAGCAAGGCCTACCTTCTTTGTCAGCCATCTCGATGGAAAACCAGGATTTGGGGTAGAACTTGACCTCGTGCAGCTGCCGGTCCACCTGAATCAAACGCGGAACCGCGCATCGCCGCTTGGGCGTCTTCGATTATGCTGTTAGTCTTGGCTAGATAGACAAGCTGTGTTGCTCGTTGACTCTGAGGAATAATCAACGTTAGCCATTGATCTTTGAGTTAATTTACCACTCTCGCATGATCCCTGGCCCGTTACTTAACAAAGAAGTATATACCAAATTTCATAAAGGAAATCATTGTCGAAGCTGCCCATCCACCGAGAAGCAAAAATCATGGCCGCGGACAGTGAGGCAGGCGGTACTCACGAGGCGGAGGTGAATGCCAGCAAACCCAAGACAGGAATTCCTGAAGCACCGTTCGTTGTAAGTATGTTAGTCATGGAGGGTCTCATTCCCCAAGAATTTACGGTTATGACCACGCATACCAACGTTAGGTGGCGAAAGTAGAATTTAGCCTAGACTTGAGACCACGAGGCTCATCAAGGACTCCAGGGTAATATTAGCTTGTTCCATTGTTACGCATTCGGGGAAATCGGGCCATTGAATTGCCAAGAGTTCCTCACCTATCTTGATCTCTGATTTGTCGACCTCCGGTAGCCAAAGCAATTTAAAAATAATTATTAATTTAACGTTAGTTTTGGTTTACCCAGGAAATAGCAAGTCTCTGAGTATCCATCGTTATGTGAACACTGCACACTGCATGAACACTCCCCCGCACCTCAGACTTCGGCTTGTGTACACTACCCTGACGTATTCACCATGCGTCGGGTAGGCCTCCTAATCCTCAATGTTCGATGTCATGTCCAGTTGAGATGTCCCATCGTTCTGGACATCTCCGGTTGCACATGGGGAATTTGTTGGAAAAACCGAAATTAAGATCTCTCAATCTTGAGAAGCAGCTCAAACTGAAGGTTCTTGTGGATGGCAACACTCTACCTCTGAACCTCATGAACCATTGTGTGGAGGGTTGCCATCCATGTGAACCTCCACTTTAAGTTGCTTCTCTGGAGCAATAGATCCCAAGTCTGGTTTTCCTGATGTCGCTTCCATGTCATGTGCACCCTGAGATACAGCCAATGATGTCCAGGATGATCAGCAGGAAACCAATCAGCAGATGATGGTGTGGCACTTCTCTCCAAGGCTTTAACAGGAGTCCTAGGCCTGCCTGAATGACAACTCCATTACTATGGCGTGCACAGTAAAGATGGCAGTGTGAAAGAGTTTTTATTTCCATTGACCAGCCTATAAATGAAGGACACCGAGACTCCTGTCAGGGAAGCTCACGAAATCAGGTTTTTGGGAATGTTTTGATTCATAGAAGAAACTTAAGTGAGAACTTGGATTTTTGTGTGCAGTGTCAGACATGTAGCTCAACAAGTGTGTAATGTGAACGTCTGTACCCTAAAGTGTGCACTGAACAGGTAGGTGTACACAAGATGAAGTTGATGTTGCTGACATATTCACATAATGAAGGATCCCCGTCGTTGTTGGTGTAGGTCTTTCAATCACCAAGTTTTAAGGTGTCCTTTCACAGGTCAGGGCATTGGGATGACATTTCAGGAAGGCTAGGGGGGGAGCAAGCCTTAACCTTACCTTTAGCCCTTCCGCTCCCTGAGGCACCCTTGCAATTTGAAATGACTTTCCTTCCAGTACAACTTAAGGGATAGGCATAGCCATGAATATGGGCTTGTACTGCTGACATGTTGCCTTTGCAGTCTCTTTCATCTTGATTATGCACTATTGGCACAAATTCATGTTTCTACACAGTGTCATCTTACCCGGTGATGTTTTGAGGTGTAAATACATGAGCAGGAAATGTCTATCAAAGGGAAGCATTTGCATGAAATCTCTATTTCTTGTTGCAAATTGTCAAGTATTCTTTTTTTTGCAATCTGTGAAATAGCAAGGTACAATTTCAACAAAAGTTTCCCTTGAGTATTTTTAGTTGCTTGCCACTGAATTTTTTAAATTAATATTAAAGGAGCATGGACTGGGACAGACACACAAAGACAAGAACAAATGCCACAAGTGACTGAACACAATAGAAAGGAAAGGGTTTTCAGATAGGGCATCCCTGATGACATTACTACTCCTTCCCACACTCTCAATCACTATGTATCCCATATTCATGGGCCTAGATGATGACAACTTCAATGTCACTCCATCCTGAAGCCTTCCATCAGTGTGCATTGGGATACAAGTGCCAATGTGGCAGGTGCCATTGAGGCACACTAAACCTCTACCTCTCTTGTAATAGAACATAGAGTGGCTAATGCCTCAGTCCTAGGGAGAGCAGATAGCACCCAAAAGCACCTTGGTGAGCTGTCGACCCAGGAGAATACCACCTGCTGCTGGTTGGATTCAAACCTGTACCTCCCGTATGCTAACCAAGCCCTTATCCACTGAGCCACAGCATCACAGTCATAGCTTGCTTGCCATTAAATAACTTTTTACTTTGACCTGCATGGATCACATCCTTTGGCCACCTAGTTCACTAGTCAGGATTTTTAAAGTATTTCATTAGTGAAAAAGAAACACCATAAGTTAGAAGTGCACTGTTGGACTGAATGATCTTGAAACAGATCTTTTGAAAATGAAGAAAGCAGATAAATGTAAAATGAAGAATGAGAGGTTTTAAAGGGCTAAGGTTTGAGATGTAAAATTGTTATGTACTAGGTGTTATAGCCTGTCCAGTCCTAGAAAGGACCACTTCTAATCCACAAAGACCAGCAAAAGTCTCATTTGTCATACTTGGGCCTTTTCCCTCTCCCTTTTGCAACCCAAAATACAGGTTTGAGGCAGTAGAAAGGCAGGGATTTGACACCTTTTTACAGGTCATAAGAAATGGCACTCCATTATGGGCTCATGCTGTCTGGTCCTTTCTGGGCCTGGATAAACTATTCTTAGTGTTGATTCATTTATGCCTTGGGGGCTATTGTAACTTTCTCACATTTTTCAGTGTTTTCAATTCCTTGGAAGTATTATTTTAAATGAATTTCCCTTGGAATTTTCAAGTAATGGGGCCTCTCAGTTTCTGAAATTTCCTGGCTAGAATCCTGCAAAGGGAATGCTTAATGCATGAGCATGCAATACCAAAATATCCATTACAACTCACTCAGCAATCTGTATGCACCCAAGACAGGGTATGCTCTATGATAGCCCTTCAGCTAAATATGTAGCCACTATATTTTCATTTTAAAAATGTATTCCTTCTGCTCCTGTATCATATGCTTGTCACTCTACAGGAAGATGTGGATGCCTACATGCAGCAGCCAGAGAACAACAACACAGAAGCTGTCCTTCGCAGGCTAGATGAACTACACATGAAATATAAGTTCCTGGATTTGAATCTCGTTTCAAAGAAGCGAAGACTGAAAACTCAAATCCCAGAAATTGAGAAGTCCCTGGAGCTCCTGAAAGAGATAGGCCATAGAAGGCTGGAAGAAAAGCCGATGGAGACGCATTTCTTGCTTTCAGAGCAACTGTATGCAAAAGCTACTATTCCACCCACCAACACTGTGGGATTATGGCTTGGAGTGAGTTGATCAATAGGAATCCTTTGACATAACTCATCTTTGTAAAATTCAATGCATTGTTGACAAAGTAGAAGTAATTAATTTTATTGCCTTCTTTTCTTACTGATCTACTTTGTGTGCTGCTGCAGGCAAATGTGATGCTGGAATACTCTGTAGAGGATGCTCAGGCTCTTTTGGACAAAAATCTTGAGATGGCTCAGAAGAACCTTCGTGATGTTGATCGGGATCTTGATTTCCTCAGGTTGGAATCTCTTACATTTGTATCTCATCTTCCTCTGCACTCAGTAACCTATAAGTGCATAATATCTCTGACAGACTCTTTTTATTGATCAGCTGCTAGTACCCCCTGGAATGAGATAGGAGCTTTTTTTTATATTGCATGCATGACAATTTTTTTTTCCAATTTTTCCAGATATCTACAGTCATGCATAGTCATTTCAAGCCCAGGTTACAGTTCATGTAGAAGTAGTACAGGGTGATCCAAAAGGTGTACCCAAAAATTATTTATTGTACAAACCAAAACACTTTAGTTTGGGAGTTGAAATTTGTTACCATGCTTATTATTGTCCTAAAGTTTTTGTGTGCAACATCTGACCTCAACATGACCACTACCTGATGCAATGGGAGTTCAGTCCAAGTTTTTGCTAACATGTCAGGGGTAATAGTTAGAGATCAACCTATATTGGATTTTACCAATTCTGATATTGGCCAGTATATGATACTGTTAGTTGATATGATATTGACCAATATTTCAGCATAAACAAGACCATATTGAAGATTCAACAGGACAGCTTGATTTTATTTCAAATTCTCCATGATGTTAGGCTGCAAAGCATAGGCCAAACCTAAGCCTTAGAGTGAAGGTCTGCCTCTACATGCCAGACCAGGAACATAAGCAGAGGGAAAGACCCATGATTCCTCACCTCTCGAATGATGCAGTATTGACTATATCACAGTTTTCAGGGTTTCCACATGGACATGAAAAAGATACTCCTAGTTATATATTTTTTCACTGTATAGATTGAACAGAACTCTACTTCTAATATTGGCAAAAATTGAAAGACTTGAAAGGGTCTATATGAATACTTGCCAGTGTGCCCATATTGGCAACTGATATATTGGTCAATCTCTAGTAATAGTAGCAACTGCTGCAATTACTTTCTCCTTCAAATTGGCCAAACCAGTAGGTCCAGAAATGTGTCCCCTTTCCTTTGTGCACCAGTTATTGCTGCATTGTGTACATGATGCCATTTAAGGGCCTTTCTTTTCTGAGCAAACAGTTAGTTTGTTTGGGACCATATTTGGACATGCTGCAACAGTATCTACAGCCTCAGGTTGATGAGGATGGTATGGATAACATAATTTTTGTGGAGGATGTTGCTCCTCCACACTGGTCCATTGATAATCACCTCAATGAGCCCTTCAGCAACTGGTGTGGTTGAGGAGGACCATTATCATGGCCACCAAGATCTGGATCTAACACCAGCAGACTTCTTTTTGTGGGGATATACCAATCACTGGAGATATGCTTCTAGACCTACTGGTTTGGCCAATTTGAAAGAGAAAGTCATTGCAACAGTTGCCACTATCACCCTCGACATGCTAGCAAAAACTTGACTGAATTCCCATTGCATCAGGTGGTAATGTTGAGGTGTGATGTTACAAACAAAAACTTAGGGACCATAGTAAACATAGTACCAAATTTCAAATCCTAACATGAAAGTGTTTTGGTTTGTACAATAAATTATTTTTGGGTACACCTTGTTGGATTACCTTGTATAACCATCAGCTTCTTCACCAATGTGTCTGAGTAGTAAGGGACATTCTACAAACCTTTATGTGATATCTGGGTCTCAAAGATCTGACTGGAAGTCTGTTATATTGACAACTTTGAGTGGACACACGAGTGGAATACCTTCATGAAATATTATCATCTGGAGGAATCATTATCTTTTGTTTATCTTATTTGTCTTTATTGTGTCCCAGGGACCAGACAACCACCACTGAAGTGACCATGGCTCGAATCTACAATTGGGATGTGAAACAAAGGAAAGCATCTGCAAGCAAGGAATAGAGTGACCTGTTGTCAGACACTCATTCTTTCGAAGGTGTTATCACATGCTGTGTTCTCTCTTGCCTTTTCAACTCTGTTGATAGAGGAATTGTTTCCCTCACCAAATGTGTAGACCTATGAAATACAAGAAATTTAAGAGTAACAACAACATTTATTGCAGTTTTTGTGTAGAAGAATAAAGCTTTGAGGAGGGTACATATGGAGGAACACAGTTCTGGTCCAGGAATGCTGTTAAGACAGGAATCCTAAAATGCAGAACCAAAATAGGCCATGTATGCTGAATGAAGGGTTCTGGTGTGTTTCAGCAGTCTGTCCAGTGACATGGTGCGATGGACAGCCTGTTGTGCTGCCACCTCTTTCCGTTCTGCATTCTTGCGTTTGATCCACCTACAACACAGAAGGATCAAAATCCAATTATTATATTCCCAGTCTGTAACAATTCTGGTTTGCAACATGTTTCAATCTGGGTTTGAAAACTTGAAACTGGCTTGAGAGGGGTTTCAGTTTCATGGTGTCCCTGTGTGGTAGTGGCCTTTGCAAAAGGAATAGGACTGATGTCCTGAATCACATCCTTACCCATTAAAACCAGCCATATACAGAAGCCTGCCCCAGCTTTATTTGACCTTTTTTCAAATTGCATTTGCTCATATGGGGAAAGGATAAATAGTTTTCATGTGACTTGTGATTTTTGGGAAGAAGTCAACTGAGTTATGTGAAATAAGGGGCAATTGCATTGGCATTTAACCTTTTCCATGCTATAGACAAGTATGCTCACTGTGTTACCCAATAGAGCCACAAAAACTTAGCATGGAAAGGGTTAATGGTGCCTATTGACTGTGTCATGAATATGTGTGCGAAATACTTTTCTGTGAAAGTTTACTCCTACAGAATGATAATTTGAAAACGTTTTTTGAAAAAAGGATTGCACATTACCAAAGAAACAGTCTCAAACATAATTTATGGTGGAAAGAGACAAGAAGTGAAGAAAGGCATGAATTTAAGATATAAAGACTAACTCAAGACCAGTACATTACATACAAGAAGTAGCTTCTGTCTAAAGTGACTCATTTCACAAAAATGGAAAATCCACCAAGCAAGAGATTACTTGCATGTTGACTGCTGGTGTCCAAGGGAACTACCAATGGTGTCATTCATGAGGATCTCAAAATGTAAGGAAAACACAAGATCAAAGTCCTTGTTCACAGCCTAAAACATGACGGAGAGGACTATGCATACCTAAAATTTATTGCAAGTGTCACTTTGCTGATGAAAGTCCCAAATATGTCATTTGTGCAATGAGACTTGGTTATTCCTTTATGTTTTGCCAAAAGAACATGCTTATTTACTGATGAAAACAGGGTTTTTGTTATCCAAGTAGGGTTTGGGTTTCAGTGTGTTTGAGTTGTTGAAACATGCCCTTGTGAATAGGTGCCACAAAAATTCAGGTGGGCATCAGAAAATTATCAGAGAGGAATGGGAGAAATTGGATATCTCTGTGCTCTGTAAAGCTCTGGCAGAGTATAAATTAAGGTGCAGGAATCAAGAGCATGAGATGGAGCATTATAGTTACTGGAAGAAGTAAGAATGTATAATCTGAATTTAAAAATCTGTTAAATGAAGCTAGGCAGCCTGTAGAATTCTACTGAGAGCACATTCCTATCTGTTCACTTGGAATTCCTACTTTGGTCAACTCTGGTTAGGAACCCTGCTACCTTTTAAAAGTGCCTATTGAGTTCTGGTTACTGGGATGCAAGTATACAAGATTATTCTCTACCCATCCAAAGACCTACCAAAAAATTGCATGGGGAGTTAATTTTTAGTCATTGAGATTTTTGAGACTTATTCATGTTTGATAGTTGCTCATTCCTGTGCCATTTCTCCAGTACTCATTCACTATTAAACTTCATGCTAGATGTATGGAATAGTTTATATGCCTTGATTTATTTCATCAGAGGACAAATAGAAAAGACTAACTCTACCCTACAAGTAATTGTTTAATTAAATGTTCCAATTTAGGAACCCTTTAGCTAAGAAAGCAAAACAATAAAAACTTGACAGGAATTCTGGGACACCCTGTATATGTACAAATGAAAACCATAAAAATGGGTAACTTGGCTACAGTTTCAAGGTTTTTTCCTTATGATTTCCTATACTTAAATAGCCCTTTGAAACGACCTCATGAAGCTCTACGAAGCCTGTATAGTCCATGTATTGGGAAAATCCCACTTTCGGGAAGCACTTGACAGCAAAGGGAAGGCTAATCCTTTTAATAGCCTCATTCATCAACTGGACTAAGGGAAAGATTTTAGGAAACTGTAGCATGACGTGTTCAGAGACATGTCTCATTTGCTAGGTTGTTGGATTGCCTTTCACCTCCCATGTACTTCAGGCCAGTAATTTTATGGAAGAAAAGCAAGTCATTCGTTTCCCAATATCCAGGAGAGCACCTGCTGGTATCTCATCTACACATCTTTGACATTGCTTCTCTTCCCCGAGGGGGAATCCACAAATTGCCCTCAAATAACTTTTCCCCTCTCACCTCTTTTTCGGGAAGCCAAGCCATAGGTTTATTGCCTCCATTAATCTTATTGTTTAGAGCAGGGGTGTCAAACTCAAATCGGTCGGAGGGCCGCATTCCCTACCATGCAGATGCCTGCGGGCCGCACCCATAATTTTTCACTGAAATTTGTGGTGACAGTCTATCAAAGCAGAAATTTCTAAAACACAAGGCGGGCCGGATGAACCACCTCCGCGGGCCGTATGTTTGACACCCCTGGTTTAGAGAAACTGTTTGGTTTTTTTTCCCGATACATGGACTATACACGGGATGATCATGTAGTAACTTCGGCACCTTAGATGGCTGGGAGGGCCAGAGGAAAGAATGTATGGCAATGAAATTTGCTGGGTAGCAAAAAGGAGTCATCTTAAATTGAATCTTCCTATATGCTACGTATGGCCTTACGCAGAGAAAGCATGTTCGCATTCCTCTTGAGAGTGATGCCTCCTCCCATTCTCATTGGACTTGATGATCTCCTCCCGCCTCTTGGCTGCCTTCTCTTCTAATTTCTTCTTTTCCAGCCAAGCCTGCAAACCATTGCAGTGATGATAGACTCAACATGTATGCAGGGTATGGCAAAAAATTGACCAACGGTTTTTAGCTTATATCTCCACTCACGATACTATTTTCACAAAACTTCACTGTTCGTACGCGAGTATGTTTCCAAGCGATTCTCAGAATTTCATTCGAATTTGTTTGGTTAAGGTTATACTATTAGCAAATATATTTTTTTTTTAAGTTAGATATTTAGAATGGACAAGAGCTCTTGCTGGTGGATGAAACACTAGAATGCTGTTCTTCATGGTAATCAAGACCACGTCAAACTCATCTTCCACTTAAATTCATTCTTTATGCTGATCATCTCTTGCAAATGGTTTTCATGAGCTTGTTTCCAGTGAATGGCAGATAAATCGATGAGTATCAATCTAGAGAAATTTCTCTCAGTGAAGCTCAAAAGTAATTGGTCTTTGCCATTGCCCTTTAGTCCTCGTCTGCCACGTTCTATGTAACCAATGCAAATTCTGAATGAACATTAAAGTCCTTGGTCATTTTTTTTCCCACACCCTGTATATTCACCTGAGTAGCAAAAATTGTATAAGCGTATTTTATGATGCCCCCCAACTTGTCTCTATCTTCCCTCCGAATGAGAACTTGGAGAAATGTGGTTTTTCTCCCTCGTCAATCGTCTACTATATTGTCCATCATATTCCTCAGTGCAGGTACTATGAGGAATCAATAAAGCGAAACTTCATTACAAGTAAATAACTCGACCCTTAATCACATTTCCAAACAGCTCTCCAAGGTTGAGTTTGGTATTTGCAAATAATGAAAAAGTGACATCCTCCATGCAATAATATTGAATTCACATGGTGAGGGATAGGGTTAGACCTGGAAGGAGAGCTCAGCCGCTTGATTGTCCCTGGCCTTCATGGGTCCTTTCTTGGTATTGGGATCGCTGTGTTGACCTCGCCGTGCCTTTTCCCTCTTGCGGACACTTTCCAGCCAGGCCTTGAACTCCTGCTCCCTCTGTTTCTTCTTCTCCTGTTCCACCTCCTCCTTGGCCTGGCTCTCCTTCCGTCGCCTCTGTCGGCTCTCGTCTCCCTGCCTGGCAACGGTCCCCAACCATATTCTTACAAACTTCTTCCTACGCGTTGCAAGTTCCACATTGCAAAATTCCTTATATCTGTTTAGGCTGTCAATACAATTGGAATAATTGGATAGCTAACCCTCTAAGAAATTTAAAAGTTATTATTTACAAAGGTTCTTAGTACATATGTAATTAGTTCTGATGACTTCCCTTGAATGGATCTGTTGCAAACTAGATAAGTTATTTCTTGTCCTGTGAAAATTGTATCAATGACGTGCGAACCAAAAATGAGTCGCCTGGAATTATGGCAGTTCACATTTTCCACTTTTGATTACATTGAATTCAGAGCGTTCGTTATGCGAGGTGTTCGCGAGTGAAAGTGAAACATTTTTTCCTAATTTCCTTGATTTTTCGCGGCGACGTGGAACGGATTACATGATTTCCCATAGAAGTCTATGGGAAATCGTGTTTCGCATAAAGAAACACCTCACATAACGAACGCACCGCTGGAACGAATTGCGTTCGTTATGCGAGGTACCACTGTATAACCATCCATAGGTAACTTGCAGATTTGAAGAGGTTCAGGGGAAGATTAAATGGTCTCTACGCTAAGAAACTGTGCTCAACTCAGACTCAATATAGATTAATCCGCTAGAATTTTAAATTTAAATATTTTTCCCATGGACCACTTCACCCCCAGCGATGTACATGCAGTCGTTGTACTACCTGTCTCCATAATTCCAGTGACGACTGAGACGTCGTCATTAGTTAACTGGCTCTGCGGGAAAACGCAGAGAATTTCATTTTTCGATACCTGCACCGAAAAAATGTTGTGCATAATATCGCTGTTTCGCGGTGCGCGTTGTCCGATTCATAAAAGAAGGAAAATATAATCTTGAGTTCTTGGGCAATGGACTATGTGGAGTTTTCCCAACAGCTTCTTGATCTTAATCTGGGAAAAGCCTGAAAAAAGCGACATAGTACGCCATCTCTTATTGTGGTACATTCATTGCTGTCAGTGCAGTACAGACCACCGAGTGGATACTAGGGCATTGCGATATAACGATATTTTCATCATACGTATTCTGTTCTCATGATAATCAAACCAACCCCTTCTACATTTTTCGATATTGTCGCCACTGTATGAAAACTGTGGAAAGCCGCCCATGTTCATACCGCCATCACAGCGCCTTACTGAGACCCATTTCTAAAAATAAAGAAGGAATTACCTTGTAAATTATCCTCCCCGTCTCTATCCACAGTGACGCCCAATATCTGGGGAAAACTGAAGTCCTTCTGGAAGTCACATGAGTGTATTTAATCCGGACTCATGGACAAAGTGGACATGTGAAAATGGATATGTGGGTTCGACTTGGTCCTTGACTGTGCCTTCGATTCATACGTGTTGGTGTGCCTGAGCACTCAATACCTTCATCGTGTCTTGTGAGGATGTGAGATGCGACGATATTGCAGCCACCAGGTCCCCCCCCCCCCTTCCCCCCACTCCTAGCCGATATCCCCGAAATACCGTGGCATTGAGCCACGGGGACCTACAGATAAATTTATTGTATACCACAAGCCCTAATGCAGGGGTGTCAAACTCAAATCGGATGGCGGAATTCCTTACCCTGCAGATACCTCCGCGAACTGTATTTTTTCCCAGCTCATTCTTTGCGTCGTGTAACGCTCATTGATTCATAATCATGCTTCATATTCCAAAAGGAAGAGTCTTACAACTTCATTTTCTGATGTGAAACTCAAGCAGACAAAAATGCCTCGGACTGGAATGCCATCATTGTGGATCTGAGAGGACGTAGGGGCATGGAGGAAGAAGAAAGTCTCTTTTCGAGTCTTCATCTTAATAGTTACACTTTTTCGTGACTCTCGGAATTCTACAAGTTTCAAATTAATATTGTGATATTGATGTGTTTATTACTTCACTTTTCTGATAATTCTCACTATTTGAAAGCATAACTGAAAACTTTTAAAGCTGTAATTTGAAAACCGATGCTATGCTGTTCATGTTCCCTGCAGACACAAGAAGCTCATTTTGTGAAGCGAATCTGTAATATTTCCAAAGGCGGGGCATGCAATGTATGTGAGACATGACAATTGACGTGTACACTGAGAGGAAAGGGCTTAGCACATAAACCTCTCCTAATCGCAGTCCTTCAGGCAGGAACGCACCTCCATGGTCTTGTAAGAAGCCTTAGGGGCAGCTCACAGGTTGCTTGTGCCAGTGACTGACGTGACCAATTTTTAAGGTGCACTACACCTGCATCTCCTAGACGTGGCACTCTGAGTGGCGTAGTGGGTGACCGCTTAATTCGTCGAATTCAATTCGCCAGCTACAACTCGCCGAAAGTTCATTTCGTCGAATGACGATTCGCCGACTGCTCAACTCGTCGAAAGCCAATTTTCGACTCGCAATTCACCGATTGCTCGACTCGAATGCTTAACTCCTCGAATTATATCCTACCGAGTAGAACTCACCATATCTCCACTAACTCGTTGACTTGACGAGAGATTGCAAACAATTCTTGCTGGCTACACGGAAGTCGAATTTCTTCACAAAACGGCTCACTAGGGCCCTTAAGCTCGTGAAGACTCTGGTGGACTAATTCTAATTCCAATATACTCAGGTCAACAGGAATAATTTCTGCCTCTCTCTGATGGAAAATAATGTTATGTTCGGCGAGTTAAGCATTCGAGTTGAACAATCGGTGAATTGCGAGTCTGCGAACCGTCATTCGACGAAATGAACTTTCGACGAGTTGTAGTCAGCGAATTGAATTCGGGGAGTTTTCATTCGACGAGATGATACGGAACTGGCGTGGTGTAACCCCAGCGCTAGGCAGATACTCTCCAGAAAGCCGGCGAGCCGCCTGTAGGCGAAGAAGAGCCCGTCACTCGTCCGGATTCTTTCTCACCCTTTCTCAGGTTTCAACCGGGAGCCCGAACCACACGGACCCCAAACACGGTTTGTGAGAGGAAAGAGCATATTCCCTTAAATTCTCATCTCCCATAATTTTTTTAAAAGTCCTTAACCACTTACTAGTTTTTTTTTTGTCGTAAGGAATTGAACCAAAAATTTCAATTTTTTTTATTGTAGATTTTGATTCTATAGACTTTGTTTGAACAAAATATGCAAGAGTAACAAATTTATTCATTTATTCGGACAAATCAATAACGAAATAACGAAACACGTGTCGCCCATGTCTCAGGCGGGCAAGTCAGTTTTGGAAAGGACAACGTCGCCCGCATCAGAGACGGGCAACTCACGGAAGCTGTTAAAGGTACCATCCCTAAACATTTGAGGGAGCATTCTGCAGCAAATGCTGGATTGGTTATCATGTGATTTTCAGTTTCTTGGAGGCATTAAAATGTGTAATTGATGCTTGGATGAGAGTCATACGTGCAGGATATTTTATAGCCAAGAGGCATCAAAACTTTTTTACATGCATTTCGGAATCACTTTTAGTCAAGGTTGCATAAGATATAAGGCAGCGGAGAGGAATGAGTCGGTCTACATCATAAAGTTTTGAACATTGATTTGGCATTTTGTGCTAGTGACTACCATAAATAAATTGTTTGCTTCCATGATAGGCTAGAGGACATGATTTTTCTTTTCAAAAAGCTTTTACCCGCTTGGCATTGAAATTGGCCAAGCAGCCTTCCTTATACAGATCAGTTTAGCCTGCTTGACTGACAAGAAAAAAAGGATTCGGAGGTTTAAAATCCCGCACCATAGTTGTAAAGCCTCCCCCTCTTCAGTTACCGCTTACTCACTCAGAGACATTCACATTCTTTTGTTTAAATGATGTTTTTGTTTAAAAAAAAAATTAAATCCATTAAGAGATAAATCAAGTACGAAAGAGTTTATGCTCCTCCCCCCAAACATGTTCAAATTGTCCTGAGATGGAAGTCCTGACCTTTCTTTCTCCTTGAGTTGCTCTGCTGTGAGACCATAGGGAGAGTTCATGCCCTCGTATTTAGGGAGCTTTGCCCATTGCCAGGCCATCGGCTGCTTCACATTTCCCGCCGTCGATGGCCTCGGTCGATCCAGGTTGATGAGGCTCTGTGACTTGTGATGCCTCAACAGGGGCTGCTCCAGCGGTGGACCCGCTGTCCGTGGACGAAGCGACGGACCACTCCTAGTGGTCGTTGAAGTGGACGTTTTCGTGGTGGTTTTTGGTGGCGTTTTGGCTGGAGGTGGTGAGACCAGGGGAGGACTCTTGCTTTTCCGCCTGGTCAATTTGGTTGGGGACTGGGGACGTCGGCCTGGTTTCGCCTTTTCGGCCCGATTTGGCACCGGTATTTGGATGTCTCGAGATGGAGACTCTGATAGCAAAAAGTATCAAAACATGGTTTTAAAGAGCATCAATGTGATTCTTTCTAAAAAAAAAAAAAAAAAACATAAAATTGCCTTGGGCCCACTGCTACAAGGGTGGTTCAAATGAAAACGAGAAAACCATAATTTTAACAATGCAAATAAGTTTTGTCTCTGACAGTGGTAATAATATGTTGCCTTGATTCGGTTGGCACCTCTCTGAATGCTCACATTTATTTTTCAACAGGTGCTAGGGGTTACCCAGTGAATTCAAAATGGTGGCGCATCTGGAAACTTGCACTAAGGAAGAGATGTGAGCTGTAGTAAAATTGTTGGACATTTTTGTGCGTCTCTCAGTTTGTTGCGTCAGTTGCTTTCAAGGAGCTCCTCTACAGCGCGCATCGTTTCTGGCGTGGATACGCAGTTAGCAGGTCTTGGTCGAGCGGCATCTTGGAGATCAGTGACGCTATTTCTGAACCTTTGGACCCATTCATACATACTGGCCTGTGACGTAGACTTGTGACCATACACATTCTTCATCCTACGATGTATCTCGGCTGGCTTAACCCCCTCTGCATTAAAAAATCTGACCATAGTTCGCATCTCTTCTTAGGTGCAAGTTTCCAGATGCGCCACCATTTTGAATTCATTGGGTAACTCCTAGCACCTGTTGAAAAATAAATGTGAGCATTCAGTGGGGAGCCAATTGGAACTAAAGCAACATATCAGTACCACTGTCAGAGACAAAACTCATTTGCTCTGTTAAATTATAATTTTCTCGTTTTCATTTGAACCACCCTCATAGAAAAACCTAACACCTTTGCCAAATTAAAATGGAGGTTATATCTGTTGATTAACTTCATCCTAAATTCCTTTGACGTTCTTTCATCTTGGGCTCCTGGGATTCAATTCAAAAGTGGACATCGAAGTAGGCTATAAGGAGAGGTCCCTCCGACGACTTGCAGCAACCCTCACCTGATAACCTCAAGTCTTTACGTGCAACCAAGAAAATGAAATAAAACTAGACCTACGTGAAAATGTCCTATCCTGCTTTTCCTTTTCTATCTCCTTAAAGCCCACTTCTGTGCTCACTTTTGAATTGAATCCCAGGAGCCCAGGACGAAAGAACGTCAATGGCCTCTAGGATGAAGTTCAACAGATATGACCTCTATATATGCCTAAGCAACCTAGATGCAGGAGTATGCCGCTGTTTACCGCTCTCCATATGAATGGACTTCTCCCATGTGTGGAAGCGTGTAGATAATGCCATCCCTCATGAAATTGATGAATGTTGCATATAGGGTGATTTATAAAAAAAAACGCCCTACCGTTTCCGAAAAGAGAAACAGCTTCACACATGATAGGCCATAAATATACATACCACTTGTGACTTTCTATTTCTGTACGCCTAAAAACAGCAAAGAAAAAAATGTTTTATACCTCTATGTGAGTGTCTCTTTGGTGGTCAACCTTGGCTGTTTTAACATGAATCCTTCTCCGCCTAGAAATGGCTTGAGGTTCAAAAAATTGTCTGGCTGACCATGAGGCAGAAATGATCAAAATATACCAATGACTCCCATACAACTCTGACCGTAACCAAACCGATCACTGTATACGAAGTCTGCTGGAATTAAGTGGCCCATAAACGAAATCCAGCAACCTGAACCAGTTAAGGTTCGTGCCAAAAGAGAAGTGAGAGTCCGTCCGGTGCGATCGACTGACGGACTCAAAGATTCCAGGTTGCCATCAAGAAGAACGGGGACAAATCGAACATATTTTATAAGTCGTTACTGTGAGCAATTGTGTCTTGTTGAGATTCAATTGATTCCATGAGAAGTTATTAGTACAGGAAATACAAAACTTCGATTAGGGGTGAATATTTATGGCCCACCCTATAAATGCAAAAAATATATATACAGTGGCTATGCAATCGACATTGGACGGTTACGAGGTGTTGAGATGGATGCCAGTATTTTTTTTTCTGCACCCTGCCTAAGTTCAGGTCTATTTCAATGCCCATTTACACTGTTTAGAGGGGGATCATTCCACTTTAAGTGAGGTAATGATCTGTGCTCGACCATCTCAGAATTCAATTAAATTTGGCAAACGGTCAAAATTATTTTGAGAATAGCCAACAGACAAAACACGCAGATCTTTACTTCAAGCGGAGGCCGAGAAAAGTGAGTTTAAATTCAGTCATGGAGGCGCAAAATGGCCCCCAACCTCCAGATGCTAACTTCCTAACTACAGTGTCATTGTATGAAGTCGCCACCCTATTTTTGATTGGCCATAGCCTTTCAAGGGACAGTTGGATGCAGCAGATACATGACAGAGAGGTTCATGAGTGTAAGAAGTTCTTTCATATACTGCAAGATGGCGCTGCATGCCGATAGAGGGCACTGTAGTCGCCCGCAGCACCCCCTATCTACGTTCCAGGGCACTTTTAAGGTAAGAAAAAAAATTATTTGGCAGGTTATATGAATAGGAGGTTGAATGGTTACGAGTTCCCATCCAATTTTCTTTGACCATATCTTTTAAAAGGGCTATCAGACGCATCTGATATTTAGCACAGAGACTCATGGGTCTATTTGGTGTTTAAATATACTCATATGTTTAAGTTTGCCAACTTAAATGGCGTTTTTAATTCCTAGCTGACAGAGCTGCAATTGGAAAAGAATAAAAAATGATTATTACTAATGGGTTAATGGATTATTACTTATATTTCCTCTCCTATCGCGAAGTATCCCCTGGTAAGTTTGACTCCAAGCAGGATTCTTCCCCAATTAGGAAGTTTACAGGGTAAAATCGTTGATAGCATAGCTAGTGAATATGATTACATGCCAGGAAATGTTTACAAGTACCCTCGTACATCCAAATGAATTTCATATCACAGGTCTAAGAAGAAAAACTTCAGACTAAGTACCCTTAGAAGGGGTTTTTCCAATATCCTTCAATTTGGGTCGGGCAGACGGCGGCCTCCCCGTGTCCAAACCGACTTTTCTCCTTTCGGTCAAGGTCAAATTCTCTACCTCCACCCATTGAAACTTTCCATCACGTTCCACCAGGGCTCTTTCGCAGCCGCTCGCATCCGTCTCCAACACTCGATCACTGTTAGACGAGGATGAAGCGCCGCCACTGTCCGTCGGAATCGTGGAACTGCTGTCTGAACTTCCCACTTCACCATCTGATGGCACCGGTGACACTATACACTGGTCTGTGTTGTTACTAAGATTACCAGGAGTCTGGGGCTTGATTAGGCCGTTCAATCCGTCATAGTCGTTATCCATGTTCAAGATCCCTTTCCTGGTAAGGTGTTGACGCAGCCACTGCTGATCAGTCAAAGGTGGTTTCGGCAGAATGGGTTTCAGTGGTTCCAGAAGGTCCTCCGTCGGTTTTAGTGGCTTTGGAAGACCTTCGACCTCTTTCTCAGGCTCCTTTAGGATCCACGCGGCATTTGTATCTTCCACCGGTTGAAGCTCCGGCACTTCCTCCGAACCCTCTTCGGTTGAGGCTGCCAAGGAAGACATTCGTATGTCATGATTTCGAATGTAATTGTAGCATAAAATTTCAGTCATTTCGTTCTAAAAGTTGTAGACTGCATTTCTTCTTTACCTTCTGATTTCTTTCTTAGTATTGCATTGATTTTTTGCTCTGATCTGCTTACACATGACATGCTTCATTTATTGCAATGCAACATTTTATTGACAGTGAAATATTAGCATTAGCAGCTCCCTATTTTATTATTGAGAAATGTGGGTTTTGAAATAAAATTAGTTGTGCTTAGCTCTTTTGTTTTTCCAATTTGGTTTCACGTTTCACGCAGAGATTCGAGTTGTTATTTTCTCCTTCCGTCATTCCTTTTCTATATTGGCTTTAACTCAAGCTCATGCTGGCACTCTACAACAACTTATTTTTAAATTTATTCTTTTACATGCCTTGCATAATTTAGCACAAGAAACGAGCTGCAACATACGTTAATGTGGAAGTGAAAACTGTTCTCAACGTGAATTTGCACATGTCTTTTTTAATATAGATTGCCCCTTCTGGTTTCAGTTCTGTGGTTCGCTGGGAGGATCTCTCATTGTTCTAGATCCATAGCTGATCTATCAGTGATGAGAGCGAATCCAGCGACTCCGGTTCGAAAATAACTCCACCCTTGTTAAACTGAAAGTGTCTCAAATGGCATAGGAGAGTCATTTTCCGCCTGCAAGGAGACCCCAGCTCCTCCAACGCATGGAAATTCACTCAGAGACACAACATGCCTTTGACCATGTTGAGAAACTGAGGGCCACGGTGGCCCAAAACCACCTGTAGTAATTCAATGATAGCCATTGGCTATCCACCTTAAACGAAGAAACTTCCACATAGGCACAGATATAATCCAAGAAACCTCTAAGACAATCGCCTTTTGGACCCCTTCACCAAGATGGAGCGTATTCTACCTTCTTGCGTTTCCACACGATTCTGTTATCGTTGGAGGGAAGGAACACTCGGAATACAAAGACTCAGAGAGGATGGGAGGGCCGATCCTCACTTCGTTTCGCATTGTCCTGCCCAGAGGTATATACCAACCTTCATTGATCTATGCATGCCGTAACTTTCACCTCACTTCCATACAGAACTTATTTTGGCGGAGGTGTTTCCAGTTTCTAACAGTGTCCACACTAGTCTTCCCTGTTGCCCGACAGCTGCACGACTAGATTCTGCGAGTTGTGATGCGATTATAGAAGAGGTGAAGGAGAGAGAGAGAAAAAAGCGAAATCCAGGACCCCATGAAATGTCGTCGAAGTGGGGAAAGCGTGGGAAATGGGAGAATCGATGAAGGGGTGCATGCTCTCCGCTGATTCCTGCCATGTGACGTCATCACGGCTCTACTATACAGCTCCTGCAGCTTTCAATTTCGGTAGGCCTAATAATCAAAAGTAATTGAACATGTAATTTGAATAAATAAGATATACAATTTGAAAATTAATATTTAAAATGTATGAGATAAATTTAAATAAAAGTAAATCGTCTCTTAGAATAAAACTTGCGTTTTACCAAAGCTATGCAATAGCAATAATTTCATAAATGCGTTGTAAGGTTTATACATGTATGATATGATTTGATTCAGAAACAGGAATTTTCTCAGCTCCTACAACAAGCGCAAGAGCAAAATCAGAGCAGTCTTCGTTATCGAATTCTGTGACAAATATAAATTCACTGCTAATTGTAACGTGAAAATGACAACTTATGCTACTGTCGGAAATGGCAAAATGACAGATCTGTCATGTGGGTGAACCCCTGTTTGTCAGAAAATATACCGGATTTCCCTGCACCAAGTCTCTCGGGGAGAGATCCGAGCTATAAGACGGATGTGGAAAATTTTCCCAATGATTCTGTAGAGTTTAGAGTTTTTAGCCATATGTGGGCGCGCATTGTCGTGCTGCAAAACAATGCCTGAAGTTAACATCCCTGATCGCTTTTGGCGGATGGCTTCTCTAAGAGATCCCTTCAAGAGATTGCTGCAGTATTCAGCATTTACTGTGGTATCTTGTATTGTATTGGCAGTATTGGCAGAAAGTATTGCAACACCTACAAAAAACACGTTTTACCTGTCTCTAATGCTTCGTTTTACTTCCAGTAAAGGTTTTATTGCAAATAAAGTTGCTATCCAATCACAGAATAATAATATAAGTGTGGGTAGTCCAAAATCTATTTTTAGAACACATTTTATTATAAGATACCACGTGGTTAAAGTGAGGACTTCAGTCATTTTTTGCTGACAATGCCCAAGACCAGTGAGATATCTGCTGAACAGCGTGCTTCTATTGTGCCTTTTTAAATAAGGATATTCAGTGCGTCAGATTGCATTGAGGTGTGGTGCGCACTATTCGTCTCTGTCACGGATTTATTACTGCCTCCATGGCTCCACGCACAATTTACCCCGTTGTGCAACTTTACAAACAGACACTTTGCGCAAGACTCTTGTTGAATCTATGTCAAATCGAATTCGCCTGGTGCTTGCTGCTAAAGGTAAACACTGCCGATATCAAGTTATGGAATTCTTATTAAAGATCACTTGGAATTCCCTGTATTATTTCTTTCTTCCGCATTGGGAAACGTAAACTGCATTTTTCCTATGGTGTTGCAATACTTTCTGCAAATACTGTATGTAACCTCAGAAGGGATAAATATGTATGCCTGTTCTCATGGATACTCATTTATCCACGCATAAGATTAATAAACTCCCCTAGTTAAATGTTTACCCCCTCTCAATCGAAAAGGATAAAAGGAATTCACCGCATTTAAGATAAGCATCCAATTTACCTTTTCAAATGGTGATTCACAGTCATCTAATTTTAGAATTATGAAAGCTAGTCTTGAAGGTGGAGTTCCGTTAACAATTATCAGATGACGATCGGTCTCGTTTGTAAATCTTGGGAGTCAACGGGAAAGTAGTTGGCGACCGTGCATCTATGGTTTAATCTTCCATCAACATAAACCAAAATCTGATATTTTAAACATCTCTATGATATTCACACGTAAGCCTATTGATCAATATAATAACGACTGTGATGATCTGAAATTCTGACTGATTTTCAGTTAAGTCAGTTCTTCAGCACTCCCAAGACGACTGTAAAATATATTCAGTCCATAATAGGGGGCTCTTTCTGGCTCTTGCTTCATGCCACGAATACCTTTTTTGAAAGAAAAAAATCTGTATAAAAAAAAATCGAAGATCCTTATAAAACTTCCTGTACCCGACCACATTGTTTTTTTTTTTTTTTTACGCGCCAAAATAATTGGAAAATAACGCCCAACGACTCACCGGAGAGGCTTTCTGTGGAAGAGTTGAAGACGGTAACGAGGTTAGACCTAAATCCGACCCTTCGGGGTCGTTCACTTTCGAGAGGAGTCTGATCGGCTTGGAAGGCGGCGTTCACTTCCCTCAGTCTCTCTTCTATGTCGTACGGCAGGGGCTCCACTTCTGTTTTGTCAAAGCAGGTCAAAATTTGGTTGTACATGCAGAGTAAGGCAAAAAGACAAACGACTTTTATCCTACATATTTCTGCAAATTTGGTCGTACATAGTACATGCAGAGTAAAGCAAAAAGACAAACGACTTCTACCCTACATGTTTCTGCTATTACTGGAGTTATTTTCACTAAACTTGGATTGTGCATAAATTGATGATTCCAAAATCTTAGAAATTTCATTCAAATTCGTTGTCTCGAGGCAAGGCTATGAGCAATCGTTAAAAAGAAATCGGACGAGAAACTCGAGTCTCTTCGGAGTAACTAGAGTCCGCCTGCTTCGTTCTCCGACGTAAACTAAGGGAAACCTGGATAAACTTCGAGAGAATTATCTCCATTGGCCAATATATACATTGGTCAAGAATCGGGTAGTCTGCCAAAACCAACTGCGAGAAAAGGTCAGCCCAAAGAATGAATTTCAATAGAAGTTCTATGTGACATGGATTAATTGAACGAAAGCACGAAGGCGTTCCACCTAACTACTAATGCGAGATCTTGTCCAATTTTCAAATATTCGAATTCCTTTGAGTAATTGCTCATAGTCTTACCTCGGCAGAACGAATATAGAAAAAATATCGAATAATTGGAAACACATCTGTCTATGCAAAGAACAAAGTTCGTAAAAATAGCTTCTGTGAGAACGAACAGTTAAAAGTCGTTGCTATAAATATGCTAATGAGTAAGTGAGTTAAAAGTCTTTGGTCTTTTTTGAGATACGCTATACGTACCAGATACATGTTACGGTTTATGCATATATGCATATAATCTTCCCTTTTTTCTGATTTTACTTCGGTCCTGAACAGGCTTATTCAAAATTCTTATTCGGTTTGACCCCATCAATGAGGTAGGCTCTTAAATTATAGGAGCTGTAGTTATTTTCTAATGACCCACCATAAAATGTGCTGTTGAAAATATCGATATGAACTAGAGGTATTCATGGAATCCATTATCACCAGCCGCAAGATGTTAGTTTATAAGCTAGGCTAGGCTAAGGCCAACCTACTTACAATAAATACATTTAAAAAAATATATATATATATTTACTCTTCCCAACCCACTTGTCTTAATCCCTTTCTTGCCTTTCCTCTTTATTTCCTTTCCCGGAAATTATTTCAGAATCTAGCAATCCTGTTTGCCTGAGCGTGAAACCCTAACAATTAGAGTTATCCACAGCAATCAGCATTGTGGGAACTTAGACTCATACCTGTAGATCCCTGCTTACACAGAGATCTTGGCTTGATTCAAGACAGATTTGAGAGAAATACGCAGAAATAAATTTTAGGATGCTGCACCTTTAGAATAAGGCTGGACAAAGACCGTGACTCTTGACTTAACTTCGACTAAAACCTGAGAAAAACCCATTTAAATTCTTATATTTTGCTCATAGATCGCCTTCCGTATTCACCCATGAAAATTTTCCGGTTGAGCCTCTGGGCATGTCTCCCTGGCCATGTCTTACCATGCCTCCGACATCACTGAAATAAGTACCAGGCTTTAAGTCTTTGGCAAATAGCTCAGGATCTAGTTTAAAAATTCGCTTGATTCTCCAGGAGTCAGAAGTCTCTTTCATGATGTCTTCTTTGGTTCTTTCTCCACGGAGTTTCCATTGCTATTTCCTCACTCTTTGCGCACTTACAAATAAAGTGGACTGGAACGGACATACACAAACAAGGACGAATTCCACACACAGTTTACACATAGTAGTAGAAAGGGAATCTTTATCGGACATTCCTGACGGCATTGCCACACCTTCTCACGCTTCCTACCATACAGCATCCCGTTTACACTGGCCCGGGGAAGGTGATAACTACGATGCCGCTCCAGCCTGAAGACATTCATCTTTGCACATCAGGCCGCCTGGGCCGATGCGCAGTAATGCAGTGTTGGATTCGAACTTGGACCTCCCGCTTGCTAGCCCTAGCCCCTATCCATTGAGCCACTGAGAGGTTTTTATTTGTGGACATGTCTCATACTCACACCACTGAGTTGTGCATAAATGATTTTCCAATACATTTGACTCAGTAAGATTTATTTTAATAAAAAATTAGCTGCATAAAAAGTGCTCTATTTGCGAAGTTATTTATATCACATGACAGGAAGTAATAACTACTCATGCCCAACTTTCCATGAGGCAATTGTAACACTGCGCTCAGCAGATGATGTGATAGGATCTGAGGCTGATTTCAAAACGGCAGTTCAGTTGCAGTTCGGTTCTAGTTTCATTTCGGATTTTGTCTGACTGAAGTTCCACTGTGCTCTTGTCGACTTCTATCACAAAGAAATCCCAACTGGAACTGCAACTGGACTAAAGCTGGACCTGAACTGCGACTGGACTGCAGTTTTGAAATCAACCTAAGTCTCATTTTGCCAAAACTTAGATTGATTTAATAATATTAATAAAACAAGCATAAAATTGACATTTCTACCTGCTCTAGTTTTTCCCAGCGTCTGTTGAGAAAAGGAAGAATTTGGAATACCAACTTTTCTTTTCCGGAGTACAAACATACTGTATGAGGTAAATACATATTTGTCCAAACATGGAGAAGCTCAAATTGCATCATATTAAAGTATGAAGAGTGGTATGTTATGCACAAAATGAAAAAACTGTATCTCATTTACAGGGTGTTGCAAAACCCTTTGTTAGGGGGGGTTCCAGAAAAAAACTGAAAACGGCACAAATAATGTCACTAAGTCAAATTTAATGTAATTCATTTCCAGATCCAATGGCATATTAATAGTTCGTGTGCCGCCATTCGCCAGACGTATGGCCTGCAAACGCGATGGGTATGATCGGAGCAGATTTTCTCGTACTCCAGGTCTCTTCGAAACAAGGCTTTCGAAGAGACAGATCTCTTCGAAAACCTGCTCCGATCATACCCATCGCGTTTGCAGGCCATACGTATGGCGAATGGCGGCACACGAACTATTAATATGCCATTGGATCCGGAAATGAATTACTTTTAATTTGATGCAGTGATATATTTGTGCTGCTTTCAGTTTTTTTCTGGGACCTCCAAGCAAAAGGTTTTGCAACACCCCTTCTTTGCTGAATGAGGAAGCCGTTACAATTGTTTCTTTTACCTCACCTCATCCTATACATGGATAGACCAGTTTTAAAATTGCGCAAATTCCAGAACTACAATCTTCAATCAGGCTGCGTGCGTTATATCAACTATCCTTTCTCAAACTTTTTCTTTTACAGCAGTGGTTCTTAACTTTTTTAGCTGCGACCCAAATTCCGATCGCGGGACTAGCTCGGCGACCCATACCTTCAAACAGTTTACTTGTGATAAATGATATGTGAAAGTTCGGACAGTCACTGGAGACCCTTGGTGACCCACTCAAAATGGCTTGGCGACCCCATTTTGGGTCGCGACCCAGCGATTCAGAACCACTGTTTTACAGAAAAACCATTTATTTACTTTTTATGAAGAAATTTGAAGGAGAATTAGGTACATAAGAAATTAGACTCGTGTAAGTGGAAGATGCAGAGAAAAAAAACTTAATTTGTTATACTGTATTCCTTGGCAATTTGCATAGTTTTAAACACATTATCAGTTCTAGATAAATTGGTATCAAATCTTAGACCGTATTCGTATAAGCACTCATATAGAGGCATTCGTAATTCTATTATGGCAATTAACAAACCATATTCCTCGTCGTCGTCGTCGTCCTCGTCGTCGTGGCCGTGAACCTGGAGATCCTGCGGGAGGCGGATGCCATTGAATGGATTGGAGATCTTGCCAAAGCCTTGAAGAGCAAGCATGGCCTGGCGTTGGTCCTCTGTGATGTTGTAGTCATCGTCTTCATCCTCCTCGGTCCCCGTGCCCGTAGATGCACCCTGGATCAAGTTCATCCCTACGTACCAGACGGGTGGAAAATAAAATTTGGTTTTAAAAAAATAGGCGCTGGAAACGGAAATCACATCTTTAGTAAAGATGGGTAAGGTTTATGAACATCAATTTCACTATATCGTGATGGAAGCATCAAACTTCTAAAGTGTACGCGGTAGTAGTATAATTAGGGACTAAATAGGACAGTCACTAGGACCAAATCTCAAGCTGCCCTTATTGAGAACATCCTAGTTCTCGTGTTTTACTAAAATATTTTTCAGGAATTATATTTGAATCGGAATTATACCGAATTCTAATACTCGGATAAGTAGAAACTGGGAATTGTTGAATTGTTCAGCCTTATTTTCTTCGATTAGCTTTTTATTCCTGATCCCTCCTGTCCTACATCCGATCGATTCTCAATATCATAAATATTCCCATTCAACACAGGGCGGAAACAGGTTTATGATTCCCTGGAGAGAACGTCTCTTCAACTGAAGAGATGCAAAATCTAATTCTTGCTTGTAGTACTGGGAGAAACAGAGCATGCATTGCCACGAAAGATGTCAGGAGAGGCGATGAGTTGAAAGGGGTTGTCCCGTACGAGGCCATCTTTACGGTGCCGATGGAGGCAGCTGTTTTAACCCGCGTCCCTGGCTTGGTCTGTTGGTCATGATTCAAACGCGCATGCGCAATTTTGTTCCTCCATCCATTGACACAATTCAGAGGCGTACGCAGGATATTTGGAATGTGGGGAGGGGCTCAGTATTATAGTGGCTGAGTGAAGAGTGAAAGAGGTGGGACGGGGTGTGGGCGAAGAGATGACCAAGGTGGGGGAGCTCGAAGAGAATTTCGGGGTTCGCCTATTCGTCACCCCTTAACACCGCTCCTTGGTAGGGGGGGTTTCTCGAAAGCCGAAGGGAAGAGGCTGCCTCCCCCCCCCCCCCCCCACCTGCACACGCCACTGACACTAATACTCCCGCATGACCTATAGGTTTAAGTTCATCCAAGATGTAATAAAAAGATGGCGCTGTGCATATGCGGATGAGGATATGACGATGATGAATATACACTAGCGCCGTCTAGTTTAAGTTTTCTACGAACTATGCAATTCTCGCAAAACATTTAGTCAATTTCTTGAATCTTGACTTCTGTACAGGCCTACGCGTCGAGGCCGTGGCACATGAAGTAGTGTTATACCTACCTTGGCGAAACCTCCTGACATTGCGAAATTGTGCTTCTTCCATATAAGGGCAAACGTTGTGCCCTGGCATTGAAAGCGTCATGAACTCAACATGAAGCGGTCTGTCGTAGGACGGAACGTGAGGATATGAGTGAAACACTTTCAATATGAAAGCAATGGATAGATGAGGAAAGCAAAAGATGAAGTCCTTTATTGTGGCATGGGTGACATGCGACTGGATATCGTAATCGCATGATCCTCTGGGAAAGGTAAGGTGCAAGGCAGGCCAGGGCCGCATCCACGCAAAACGAGCGCTCTCCGGCCTGGACCCGACCCGAAGATGCAAAAGACACCTAGCCGTCATTGGCGGAGCTGCCATGGCTGCACCAGTCCCTTCAATTGTAAAGGATTCGTCTCCACTCCAGATACGAATGCTAAGGCTTCTTGGAAAGTAGACGAAATAGGGAAAAGACAGGCAGAACATGAATAGGTGATTCAAGGGGCCATAGCCCACTCGGCTGGAGAACTCCCTGCACCCCATTCAGGGACACCTTCATTCCCATTCAGAAACGACTCCATTTTTATGTAGTGGGAACCCATCCAAGATCTACGTGCATACGACATATTTTTGAGTAGTACGTGCTTTCATTTAAGAAAATAAGATATTGGGGAAATGCGGGATGGACAGAGGTGATTTGGAGTCCCAGCTTTGAATTATTGAGAACTTCCTTGACTTCCCAGTCGATCAGTGGGGGTAGTAATTGTTTTATCGATTCCCAGGACTCATTATACCTCCTCTAAATGACTTCCACGATGGTTCTATCCTCTGGCACATGTGCTTTGGTTAAGATGGGGCCACGGATCGGTGAAATTCGCATTTGCCTCTGATCCATTCGAATATTTAGACTCCTTTTAGGTTGAGAGTGAGGAAACTTGACGGTTTCTTTCTTTTTTTCCCAGAGAAAAATGCTTAACAATAAAGAACACAAAATAGCCGATACACATGCAATGTATTAATGCTGTAGGCGCACGTCACTCACGTAGGGGTAGACACACACTTTCATTGGTTCTCATTCATTCGATATGGGACTAGGAACGTTATTCCCATGACAATTCCGATGCCAAAAAAATTTCATCAAAATTCTGAAATTTAAACATTAAAAAAAAATTCTGAATTTCATCAAAGACTATCGTTCTACTTTCTCGGGATCGAAGTATAACTTCTTGTCACGAGCGATGAACGTTCAAGTTATGAAGACGAAATGGCATTGCCTAAAAAACAAATTAATTCTGGCGTTTCGGATGGTCTGCTCTGCTTAGGTTATATGGATTGAACAGAATATTATTCACATGAATTCAAAACTAAAGCCTGAGTTCGGTTTGGAGTGGCGTATGGCATCTGGCTTCAAATTGATTGCTACTCTTTTGTCATCGTCACCAAAAATAAAAAAATAGGTAAAAATTAGAAAGAGGAGAGTAAAGAGAGTAGTACCGTGTGAGGTGACGTGGACGTGAGGGCACATGAGCGACGACTGGAGCCGGTCTGCCTTCTTCCACGCATGTCACACACGCTCATTCCCATCTACCGAGCACACACGACGAAATAATGCATGGACTGAGCCTTTAGAAGCGGGGGAAGGCTGAGTATGTGCATGAAAATCGATGAACATGCACACACACCCCCCTCCACCCATTCATCATTAATATCTATTGAAGAGATTTTTCCTAGGAGGGTACTACGGAGATCGAAGAAAGAGAACCCCTAGGAATGAAAAGCAGGTAGAAAATGCAAGGCAATGATTTTCCTTTTATAACGTATTTTTCCTTTTATGCCTTCATTCCTGGATGCAACTATTCAATGATTCAATTTGCCCACGCACCTTTTACTTTTAAAAGTTCTAAAAGTTAGTGCTGGCATATTTAAAGAATAATTTTGATTTCGACTTCATCCGTGTGTTGTTTTTATAATAGTGTTGCAGCAATAAAGCTCACTGCTTTGAATAATAAGTGTATCATCGTATAAATATGTGCCAATTGGCTTTAAGCCAGAGTTTTTTAATGTTAAATATATGCAGTCATTGGAATTACTCTTCCAGTCATCAAAGAAATTCACCCGAACCCTGAAAGCTTAAAAATGAAGTTGCAGACGAATTTGAGCTCCAAACGTTAGCAAACCCATCCTATGCCTATGATTAAATATAAACTCACGATCCCATTAGGGGGGATTGATTCATCCTCTTCATCAATGTTGTGTGCTTTGACAGCTATTTTAGGGCAAGTACAATATTTTATTCACGAGGAGCGTTATCATTATCATGTCATCAGTGCTGTCTTTATCTTGACGAGTTCCCTTTTCTGAGATCGGCTACAGCGTGCTCAACCTGCAGAAACTCGTGGTCTCCTTAAAGAGCTTGCATATCCTGAATGGAAGTAAAACCACTTAATGGAGGTCAGCGAAGGCGCCGGATCTAATTGTATCGGCCTTGACGGTTATTGGCGGTTTTTTTTTCCAGGAAATTCCGCAGCATTTCAACAGAAGAAGGCCTTCGAAGGAGGACCAAACTGTGGACACGTGATCAATGGGGGGGAGGGGTCTATCCTCTAGGATTCTAGGTCAAAGTCATTACGCCATTATATCCACACTAATAAGTGTCTAGGTTTGCAGACGAATCGATGTCATCCTCTGCGCTCCTCTGCACCAATGGGGAAGGGGTTCACATCGCTTTTTAAAATATTCTGTATTGGTTGTACTTCTGTTTGATTTCAGCTCATTTTATTTTATTAAGTTTATCCACTTTCTCGCGAGATCGGATTCTTTGCATTTTAACACTGCATAAACGGAACAAGATTCAGAAACGGACTCCCTTTACTATGAAACAAGGGACAGAACAGAGAAGTTATGGATTCCTGTTCTTTTCTCTCACGCACATAGTGCATCGCAGAAATGATTGATTTCGTTTTTTAAATTTATTTTCGCTCTACCGAGTAAGAAAATCGTGTAATTCGTGCAAAGATTAATTATCTGCTTCTAATGTAGTGATGCTATCACTTCACATGATTCTCGGAACTATCGTTTGAACCGGATCCTTCCAGACCAGTGGTGCCCAACCAGTGGCCCGCGGGCAAAAAGTGGCCCTCGAGGTGCTTACAAGTGGCCCGCGAGGCTCTAACCCACAATGCCCTCGGATTTCCTTAAAATTTTCTCCTGCAATACTAGTGACTTAATATGGCCCGCGATGGCTGTGGTAGTGAGCTATGTGGCTCCCTTGCCGAAAAGGTTGGGCACCACTGCTCTCGACAGTACGATAAAAAATCAATATTCTCGTCTGCGCTTGCAAAGCTGCGACTGCCGGTGGAGCGTGGCATCTAAGCTAACTCCTTTGCTTATGTATATATAAGTCGCCTGAAAACCCAACTTTTCTTTTGCTTTTTCTAATCCCTAGTTACAGTTACTATCAGTCAGCCCTACATTCGAGAGTAAAGGAGGAAGCATGGTATATATGGAAAGGGATTCAAAGTGGATTAGGATCACAAAGCTTTGGAGACGCAAATGTGTTGCCCTCCTCGTTGGAGGAGAGATTTGCACCCCTCGATACTCTGCATTGACCCATGCATAGTTAGATGCTTCGGTCGTCCAGGCGACTCAGTCGCACGTGGTCACCTACATATCGATCTGGATATAAGGTACCAGGCCACAAGGCCACGAGGTTACTATTCCCTTTTCTCGTCTCGTCTCCGTCGATGGACCATTACAGACGAAACCGCAGAGGAGAAAAAGGGAGGAATTCGGCGACACGCAATCGGCCGATCGAGGTCGTTCAAGGTCGATCAGCAAGCCGGCACCCAAAGCCGGCGTCGGGGGCAGGCGACATGGACGACTGCCTCGGGCGGCAATGCACGCAAGAAGGGGCACTCGTATTGTTGTGACACTGAATTTAGAGTACTGTATTCAATAAAACAACCTAGATGGGGGTTCAGGGAGTTTGAACCCGCCCCTCGAAGCCCTCTACGCCCCATGATTTAAATATGCATATTTCAAAGCCACTCCCATTCTGCTTCCCCCCCCTCCCCTTCCCCACGTTACCGGGAGACTTTAGAAGGAGGAGACGTCATATGAGCCACCAGTCAATGGCACACATAGAGCTAGCGCCGGCCCTGCCGTCTCGATGTGCAAAAATCATCAAGCGGTAGGGTTATCGTGTAGTCGAACAATCGCGTATGGTAGATCGATGAGGCCGTTTCATTGATGTTTTTCTGACCGTCTGATTCCACCGCAACGTCAGTCGGTTAATCCTATTGCTACAGAGAAGAAGCCGCTGAAGGAAATGGAAGGAGGAAACATTCCGTGAAAAAGAGCGATAACCCGGGCACCATATAAAGGTCGTTTGTTAGGTGAAAAAGCCCAGTTTCCCCCCTCCCTTCGGATAAA